TGAGAGATTTGTTGGTTGCAGAGCTTAACAATAAGTATTTTCACAACTTAAAACAGGATCCAAAATGGAAACAGATATTGGAACACACTTCTTTAGTCAATCAACCCATCACCCTTTCCTCATTCCATTTAAGTATACTGACTGGTGAAATGCATGTTCGTGTTAGAGACTCACAGTGACTTCAGACTCTACTTGGACTCGAGGTGCGGGACTCGTGAACAATGTTTATTTTTAGGAATCGTCTGATGAGCGTGCTGATATTCGTAGCATCTGCTGCGCGCGGTCACGCGTAAAGGGGACAGCAAACAGCAGCAGCTGTTGAGCCATTCATGATAAGCTTTGGCTTTAAAAATTCATACAAGGCCCAAACAATGAAGCAATGAACGCAAAATAGGTTAGTAAGTGTTTAGCTCAGCATTGGCCATCTGACGTTAGCTTGCTTCTTGCTTTAGCTACGACCTACCGAAGGTTAGGTCCGACTGTCCTTCGTTATGAAAAGATGAATGAACGTTTGTTTACTTGCCAAACTTGTGGTGGTCGATAAACGTAATTATTTACGTCCCGCTGGCTGCCATCACCTTAATTATTCCCGTTGGCTGCAAACAGGTTACAGGTTTATTGTTGATCATGTAACGTTACAGTTTTATTTAGTTAACGTTACACTGGTTTGAGAGTCTGCACGGTGTGTTGACTTACAGTAGTTAATAAGCTGTCATTTATTCCATTGTACATTACGTGGTTGTGCTCTGTAAGTGAAAAACAGGTTACAGTTACAGAATTCCTTATAGCTAGTTTTATAAGCAGCCTGGACTGAATGCAGCAGGTGACGCAACATTTATTATAACCAAGAGACTTGAGACTTGACTTGGACTTGTGAGCATCTCTGGTATGTGCACAGTGAGTCAGCTTAATGACACAGAATGAAGAGAACATTTTGCAGCAGCTTGCAGGTTCAATTTGCAAAAGCATGATGGAGATCAAGTCACTCACCTAGATGTTGTTACCTTAGTGTTAATAGTCCATCACTGTCAATCATAGTAGAACAAAGTGTCACACTCCAATTACAAAGGTAGGAGAGAACGAGGCTGGTCTATTTACAGGCAGGCATGAAAAATTGACATTCATTTAGATTGTAGTCTACATGTTCAACTGGGTTGGGGGACAAACTGTCTCTGCTCATTTGAAAATCTCCCAAATGCCATAGGGCTTTAAAAGTTGGAGACTAACAAGACAATATCAACTTCATCACAAGCTGGGGACCTCAGCTCTGCAGGTCACAGTACAGACACTTTTTATTTCCGAAGAGAACAATGCAGGCAGACCCCACCCCTTCAACTCGCACATTTATTCATGGTCTCTTTTGTTTTTACAGCGCAGAATAAATGGCTCATGTGACACAGCACTAGTCTGCACATTATCAACACAGGCAATAAGTCACCATTAAGCCTACTCATTCCCACAGAGCAAACCCCTGACCCTGCACTTTCCACAACCAGCTTGACCTTAATTGCATTCAGCTCACAGTATAACTACACAAGTCAGATGTTGAATCAATACAGTAAAAAAAATCTAATTAAAAACACATTTTCTTTGTGTTTTTTAAAGGTTGAGTGAAACAAAAGTTAATAGTTGTGTCAAAATTGTAGTCGTTGACTATGAAAGCCTTAGAATTGTGTTCATCTCATTATTCAATTCAATTTTATTTATATAGCGCCAAATCACAACAACAGTTATCTCACAGCGCTTATTATTAGATTTGTTTGGCTTCTGTCAGAGTGTTCATGAACCGACTCACTGTTTTAACCACACCCTCGACCCTGTTCTCACATATGGCATTAAAACTGAACATTTAATAGTGTTCCCAAAGAATCACTATTTGATAAGTTTTGGATTGCTATTGCTGGATTACCAGCCCTCAGACAGAACTTCCATTAGTTGTCTATCTGATAGTGCTGTACCTAAAGTTAAGGAAGTGATTCCATCAGCTTTTTATTCATTACCATTTCTCAAATAACGGAGGACTCCTATGCTAATTCCCAAATCGATCATCTTGTTGATAGTGCTGCAGGCTCCGCCCATCGAAGCATCGAAGCATCGAATTATCGACTACTCAGGTTCAACCCTAAAATAGTATAACAGTCAATGGGGACTTTCTGCTTTGAGTAGGTTACTTTCATTTGTCTGAGGCACGCGACCTCTGACATATACAGCAATTGTAAGACGCTTCGGACTAAAGTGTCAACTAAATGAATAATGGTAATGTAATAGGCTTCTTCTACATTTTCCTGCTTTTAGTATTTTTACTTAAAAAAGGATCTGAATACTTCAGAACTGGCTAAAAAAGCCAGAGGTTTTAATTGCATCAATAATAATTTAGCACGGATTTGGCTGCTCTCACCATCCTTGATCACAAAAAAATCTAATTTCTGATTGACTTAACGGCTCTGGCATTTAGTATAACTAAATACAGAGAAAGCTATGAACTTGGTGTAAAACTTCACTCCGTATGCAGGCGCCATGTCCATTAATCGTATATAGTGGGACAACTTTGTGGGCATTATCCCTTAACTTACTTCTCAGTGTGAAAAATACAAGGTGTGGCGTGTGTGTGTGTGTGAACTGGTTGAAATGTGTGAGGCTTGAGAGACCTGAAAGGCAAAGGGCATGTGACAAGCTGAACAGTGAGAGGGCAGTTACAACAGCACTGTGAAGTTATTGGGAAAAATGTTATGAAATAAACGCAGACTTGAATACAGGTCATTCATGTGATTATTTATTTGACAATTATATATTTATCTAACACTGAACACTTGAGAGCTCCACAATTTTCTGCTCCCCTGCAACTGAGCTGCTCCTCTCCCTGCAAACTGCCCCTGTTCACCTCATTACACCAGGCATTCATTCTGCCAGAGTCCCTAAACTCTCAACCGCACAGGCTTCAGTCAGAGCACAGATACTTCTATTAGTGATGCGGGAGGGTCAACTATAGGACCAGCCAGAGATCATAAGGCAAGCATTCACAGAAGATTGCTCTTTTCCCATGTCCACAACCTTATCTTCATTTGACATCAAAATGTATGTCCCATAAATTTGTGTAACTTGTTATGCATTTAAAATGGTTAACATACTCAGTTGAAATATGTTTACTCCTTGAAATATGGACACATTGTAGTGAAATGAATGGCTGGATATTCGAACATGTAAATGATAAAGAATTGTACTTACATTACTGTGGCGTGCAGTCAGCAGGCACCTCAGACGGAGCCAATATAGTGGGTGCTGCTGACGAGCCTCAGCGCCAGCAGACAGCAGAGGCTATGCAGATGGTGTGCTCATACAGAGCTGGAGGAGTGAAAACAGGTCCCTCTACTGAGCATGGCAGCATTTCTGGAGGACATGGATTTGAGGTGTCATGTGAAAGAGAATCTACATTTGCTACGCCTTAATAGCTATATTTCAACTTTGTGGTAAAAGTTGTCCAAGTTTTATGTGAGCGGCTTATTCTGGTTTATTACAACTTGAGCTTGTTCTTGACCCTTGAGACTGCAATTTAACAAAACTATTAACTCGTGGTCCACTTACTTCTTACGTCTGATACTTTCAACTTTTAACACTGCCAAGCAGTCCTGAAACTGCTCAGAAAAATGGACCAGCTATCAAACAAACTTTTGGCTGATTCCCATCAGTAGCGAGATGTGTGAAGACACCACATCATGAGGTCAGAGTGGTTGGAATTAAACCCAGGTTAGTCAAACTTATCTGGAAGAGAAAATGAAGAACTGTGAAATCACTACAGCTGGGCAACCCTTGTAGAACAGGAGTTAAGCGGTCAACCATGAACGGCAACATCCCTGCTTTGTGTCTGGGATGTAGGTACGTTGCAAATCATACCCCATCTCTCTCTCTCACCTATCAAATAGGCATAACAATGGCAACAATTACTTCCCAAACCGTTGTAAATATCCATCACAGTTTACAAAGCCACTTGCCTCAACCTTGACTTACTGAACTTACCACAGTCTTCACAGTATGTTGTAAAACATAACTTATAGCATAACTTGTGATAAAGCATAAATCTCACCTTTGTGTGCCTCGAGAGCTGCAAGGGATTCTTCCTCTTTCTGCACACATAGCAACAGCTATCTAGAGGTATTCATAAAAGTTCCCATGGTTGTGTTTTCACATGGCTGTGGACATCTACAATAAATTGCTACTTTCACCACATGGTGGCACTAGCAGAGAGCTTTCCTTAAAATCCATTCTCTGGTGTTTGGAGTCATGGAGCCTGCCATCAGAAAAGGCCTTTCCACTTTTTTGTGTTAAAGAAGGAAACAAATGGAGTGTGAGCTGTCACACGCACCTCTTTTGTTTACTCTGTACACAAACAGAAGAGCAAAAAAGACACAATGAATTTGTGGTTTCAGTTAAGAGTCATTCTGGAACTTGTCCTAGACAAACAAGTGTCTTGGTAAATTAGTCTGTACAGGCACAGCGGTACCAAACCTGGCAACCTCACTGCACACAGATGTTGTATAACCAACTCTAACCTAACTCTTTCTGTTTGTGTGCAGATAAAACAGGTGATCCAGCATGTTAATAGGTGTATGTATGAGCTTAGGATAAAGCCAGACTAGCAGATTCCCCTGCTTCCAGTCTGCATGGTAAGCGAGGCTAGCCACGTGTTGCCTCCAGTGCTGTACTCACCACAGAGACATGACATCAATGTCACACTTGTAAAGCGCTTGAATAAATGCTGGTGAACTTCACATTTTGGTCCTTTTAGAGTAGAAGTGTAAAGTTGGCAAAGATTAGGGGGACACCAACTTCCACATTCATCATTTGGGGAACATAAGTTTCCTTATTTCAGCAAATTTCATGAAAATCCTGCCAACAGGTGAGACGTTCTGCATGTATCCATTTCTAAAATGTCACATTACTTCAGTGAGAAGGCTCTCAGAAATCACAGACACAAGACTCAATTAACCCCCCGGGACCACAGGTGAATGACCATACCATTAACTTTTATTGTAGATATACTGGGCTACAATTATAAAAAAATCCAAACAAAACAAATTAAAAGGTATTTGTGATCCATAAGGTGCAGACCGCAAACCAATGCAGCACGGTATTACAGTATGAGTGAGGAGTTCGAGTTCGATCCCAATGTCCCTTAAACATTTGCTGCAGGTTGTGATGGCCCATAATTCCTCATACTGATAACAGTTCATCATTCAACCTGTTTAGCTCCACTCTGCTGGTGTTCTGCTGCTCGGTGACCATGTCTTAAAAAAGCCCCCCCCCCCCAACCAAAAAACAGTCTCTGTGCTCTATGCTGGCTTTATGACACCAATATCTTGCTGCTGAAAGAGTCCCCCCCCCACCCCTCCCCACTTTCAATGTTTGTCAAAGGCATGTCAATTCTCTGCTAACACTGATCACACTTTACCATGAAGCTTTAAGGAAAAATCCACCCCGAAACACTGTTGGAAAACATTCTGGTTTTCTTGTTTGGTGGCATATTTCTTTTTCTAATGCCCGTGAATGCGTGGCCACATGGAGATGACATCACATCACATCCAGATACAGTTCCAACAAACAGTGAATCACTGCAGATGTAATTAAGTTTAAGATCAATAGTGGTTGATAGAACATTTTAAACGTCATATACAGAGTAAAACTCATTTAAATGAACAACTATACCAGATAAGTGATTGCATTTAAAGCTAAAGCTTCATGGAGCCCACTGTTTTTAGAGGTTGCTGGCCCAGATCAAGGACAGTCATATGAAGTATCACAATCCTGCATCACCACCACAACTCGAGACAGGAAGAACGTTAAAAGTAAACTCACCGCACATAAGAAACAAAAACATGATTGTGTCTGAACTAGAAAGGTCTCTTATTAGTCAACACACTGGAAGATACAGTAGATTACAGTGTAGAATTAGCAGTAGTATATAGCTTCTGGCCACCAGCAACAATAAACCCTACACCATCTTTGATTTCATATGATTGTATTATTTATTAACAGAAGAGACCTTTCATGCTTCTCCGCCCTACTTCTAAGATCAGGTTGATCTTAGAAGTAAGTGTGGCAGTGGTGGAAAGCAACCACCTACAATTGCAATTTATGCTAATTTAGACTTCTACACCACTACATTTATCTGACATTTACTTTTCATGATAAGATTTTACATGACATACGACAAACTTAAATACAATACTGTAAAGTTCCACATTCAACCAGCGGTTCCTAACCTTTCAGTGTTCAGGTAGATGGTGATGCAGGACCTGTGATACGTATTCAAATCAGGGCCAAGAAGTCCAATAAGTCTAACTAATTTGTAAAAAGGTTATTGAGACTTACAATCAGGGAAAGATACAAGACAGTAGAGTCAGGTCATGAAGAAGAATTCAAGAATATGGCATCTGCAAATCTACCTCACGCAGGCTCTTCTCAACAACGGTCTGCAAGAAAAGACCACAAGTCAATGAAGCCAACAAGACATGCCTGTGGACACTGAAGAAGCTACAGGCCTTCATGGCTTTGGTTTCAGTCAAGATGAAACCAAAACTGGCCTTTTGGCCATCATATTACCCCATGCAATTTTACAGAGCTCGAGTAGTAACCAGAGCAGTCAGACAAACGACTACAAACTGCAGCGTTTACATTTGGATCCACATAGATTTCAGACTGAAGCCGAGGTTCCTCTGCTATACTGACCTGAGGGAGGTCAATCAAAGTCAAAGTTACATCCACAGTGATTCAAAGTTGTCCAAGCAGCATTAATACCTCTTACAGGCAGGCAAAGTTAAGCCATCTAAACACAGAATCAAAGAGGAAGGGCTGCATTCTAGAGGTGCCATTTTTTTGTCAAACACAAAGTAAAACTGAGGCGGCAGATAGACAGTTCTTCACCATCTTCAGGTGCGTTCCGTTTCACGAGCCTCCAAAAGTGGCTGGTAGGCTGAACCTGTCCACTACATAACTGAGTGCACAATGGCTTTTGGGATACTTCAGATGACAAAGGATAGTTGGGTGCTGAACTATAAATCTTGGCTGCAGTTGGAAATCCTTTTTACAGCCTTGGTTACCTGTTGTATGCCCAATTCCAATCAAAAGAAACACATTAGGACTGTCGCAAAGGGAAAATGTTCCACAAATTTAAAATTTAATTTGTTTGTTTGACAAACTCTACTGGAGTACAAGGCACAGCCTGCTGCACTTACACAGAATTCACAAACTGGTGTATGAGTAGACTACGCCTGTTAAAGACAAGTGTGAACACTGCTACAACAAGCGACGACACATCATTATGATCTATGATTTACCCAAAAGCACAAGAACAGGTTTGAGTGGATTTTTCCTTTAAGTTCCCAATTAAAGGGTTAGGGGAGGTTTGTCTTGTACTCCAAACCAACACAGCACAGGAGCAGAAAAGAGGCTGGGAGCATCGCCTGGATGACGTGTCCATATCAAAGTAGTCAGAAGAGAATTAAACCAAGAGTGTGAGTTCATCATTCAAGCCATGACTGGACGTGGTAGTTCGACTCACAGTTCATTTCCAAACAACCGTTTAAGGCAGGACGTCAGTGTAGAATGACGTCCAGATGTTTGAGCCCCAAATTGTGGATTCTTTTTACAGTGTATTGTCAAATGATGACGGGCAGGCACAGTTAGCCTCCCCTCCCATAGCCCCTTATTCTCCTTTTAGTAATACCAGCAATTGAAACAGCAGCAAAGCCTGAACCACAAGTTAGTCCTCTTGACAATACGGCAACATATATACAATTCTTTTTTCCCCTCCATCTTTCACTCCCTTTCACACTGACATGAGGTAAAGTATGGCGCCCAAGTGCAATGCTCAATTGTGCTACATGTACAAAAAGAAAAGAAAAACAAATCTGCCAGTATGAGAAAATGTAGTCCACCCCGAATAACACAGGACCACCTCAACTCCAGCACTCCCACACACACCTTCCTCCTCCTCAAAAACAAAAACTAACATACAGGGTTGTTGGATTTTGATGCCACTTGTGGCTGACAAGATTTTTGTGAATCTTATTTTTTTCTCAGTCACAGACCAAAGTAGAGTGGGCGTGGCACCGTAAGAGGAATTTCACATTCTTTTTTTCACTATCACTCCCCCCCGTCCCTCCTGGACACTTACAGATAATCAGTGTGTTGAGCCAGAGGACCGGTCTAAATGGCAGTGTGCGCGTGCACTACAGACTGAGGTGTTGGAAGGTGTGTGACTGGAGGGTCAGATACACTCCAAATCTCAAGTCTGACAATCTCTAACAGGGAAATGAAAACGCACAGGCCAGATTTAAGGGCTTACCTAGACAGACCAGAGGTTCAGACAGCTGCTTGAGAAATAATGACAGACTGCACTCTTTAACAGAGACAGATTGTAGAAAGCTGTCATGCTGTAACTGAATTTTGAACATGAGAACTGAAGGATTTCACAAAGTCATACTTTAGTTTTCACATTGTGATCTGTGGGACCCAAAACATGAGTATGTAAGTATGGCACCCAACAAGAGATCTGAGGGAAGTCCAGCTGCTGGCAGGAGACACAAATAAAGACCAGTCCCAGCAGAGTGGATTTAAATGTATGCTTTTCTGTTAGATGAACTTAACTCAACACATTCAAAATGAACACGATGAACTTCACATGTAGTTCTGTTGCTTCTGAGCTGTGAGGCACAGTGAGGGATCTACAGCTCAAATGAACAAAGACTAAATCCACAGATGACAAGACGTTTTCAGTGGTTAGATCAAGTTTTGTTCTCATTTCATTCTTGACTAGAGGATTTTTGGACCGAGCTGAACACTGAAACCTGACCCTAAGTGGGACTCGGGTTAAACTTTCCTGTCTACAGTGGTTTCAGATTGCTACAGGTCTCTCTCTTCGTCCTGGAAGCAACAGGACCCGTGGCCAGTCTCTTGTCAGATCATCGCAATGACTTTGTTTTGCCTGTTATTTTAAGAGTGCTGCGTTTTGAGCAGTATCCATATTTGACCATGGTGGCTGCCGGAGTTAGCCAGTCCCAGCGAATTTCACTATATGCCTTTAAAGATTTTCTTCCTTCTCTGCTCCCACGGAAATCTTAAGCCTGCAGTAATGCTGGAGTCAGCTGGCCAATGGATGTTTTGATGAACCAGATAACTGTAATTTAATCAAATGTTTTGGGGGTAGATAAGGTGCCTGCTTCAAACAAAGTGAAGGGACATTAAGCCTTTCTGGGGGCCTAGGGCAAACATTAACATTGGGCCCCAAATGACCTCACGTCTCTCCATTTGGCCCTTGTTTTTGTTAGTCAACATTCAGTTTGTCGCAACTTCATTAAACAGAGATTTATTTAGAAGCACAATCTAACCTGAAAGGCCTGAGTAACGATGCAGGCGTCTCGGTCATTTAGTTTCTATCGTGCTTTATTGGTGTATTACAAACTAAATTAGCAATTGAACTAATTACCGCTCAATATTTTGGGAGCTCAGCTGATGTTGGGTCTGTTCTACTATACTGTAGGGTAGATTTACAAACTGCAGATCTGCAGTCTGTTTCAAATCTTCAGATAATATGTGATTTACTTAAAAAGCAAAAACAAAATCACATTAAATTTTAAGTGCATATACAAACTCAAATTTGGATGAATTCATTTAATAACATCCCCTCTGTGTTTGAATTTAAATCCAGCCCATGCTGTAGCTGATCTCCCACAGAGAAGGCACTGAGTTTCACTTGCCTCCATTCAAGACATGAGACACAAATTACAGTAAGGGAATGCTGGCTCGTGTGTTGTATACTGTCTATGTGATGTAGACAGTGAAAACACTTGAGTATGTGTCACTGCCAGAGTTACTGAACTGAATTGCAGCCTTGTCCAGAAATGAACACTGAGTGCACCGTCCTGAGGTAGAAGCACCTGTGGGTGAGATTCCATGACTGTGAATCCAATTTCAGATAGCTAACACAGTTTCACAACCACACGGGTATGTATTTTCACATATGCCTATGTTTTGGAGTAAATTTAAGAGTGCAGTCTGATTAGCTCTACAAGCATTTACCCATCTGACCAATCAATCACGTGTTTGTTTTTTATCCAGAATTCAAAAACAGATTCTCAACTGATAAAATTAATATCTAATGAATGAGGAAAAAACAAAACAGTTAGGCTTATGTGCAGAGAATACACTTCCTGAACCCCACAAATCATCAAGTGTAAACCTCAAGCCTGGGAGGGGGAAGAGATGACAATGCAGCTCTCCTACAGCTTGATGGCTGACAAACCGTCCCCACCCCCTCCCCCCCCAAAAAGTCAAATAAAGAGGTATTATAGTTACAGTGCAAAAAAGATGAGAAATTCAAGCTTAATACAAAAACATAGCACCAAACAAAAAAGAAAAACAAAATATAGACAAGAAAATGCATGCAATTAACTGAGGTATTCAAGTGAAAAAGGGCTTACTGATGAGGAAAAAAAAGACATTTAGCAAGAAGCAAAATTTCTCAGAACAGAAACCACACACAAAAAAAGGCTGGTATCCTTATCCCTAGGAATCAACTTCAACCTCATAGCATCACATCTGTTATAGCTTTGGTAGGTACGGGATGTGAGGAACACTAGTGTGTTGAAATGAATTGGCCTTTTTCGCAAAGACTGTATTTGAAAAGATTCTGTGTGTCTTACATGAGTATCCAATTTGTACAAAAGTCTGCAGCATATTGAACGTGATATGTCTTTCTCTTCTTATATCAAAACTGGATGATTTGCTCTGTGGAAAGACATTTAGTACGTGAGAATGACTAATTCAATTCCATCCATTCTTGGTATTAAAACATGTTAAACCAAATCATCAAGATAATGCCATAAACATCTAATCTTGCTCTCACACACTCTAGATATATCCATCAATTTTGAACATTTATAGAAGCCATCCAGTTGTCATGGTTTTTACATAAGCTACAAGAACATGCAACCTCAAGTGCGGTTAAAAACTAGTTTAAATTACAGTAACTGGGAATGTTGAAATTCCTATCCATTTAGCAGGATATGAGGGTGAGCCTTAACGTTTAAGGCCAAGAATATCATTCATGTCTTTTATTATTTTTATATATATTTATATAGTTTGCTACGTATATGATTTTGGTGTCAATGTGACCACACAATTCTCAAAGTAACAGACCCTAATGGAATAAGTGCAAAAATGATTAAGAATACCATTTCAAGACAGATTTCAGACAGAAGTGCCACCAGGCGTTTTGCTCCAGTGGTATCTGTTAGCCATGTCTGTCATTAGCGTTTAAAAAAAAAAACGCTATAAAACTGACTGGCACTAGTGCACAGGCTGAGGAGTTTAGAGTTTTTTTTCCTTCCTACATACTTTGATTTACACCTTTGATTGAGCTATGTACAATCTAATACTACACAATAAGCATAAGCCTCATCTCACTGACACAGAGGTTAACCAAAGAAACACAAATCAAAAACAGTGAGGAATAGACACTGCGACCTGACCTTTTTTAAAACACTTTGCTAAACGTTAATAAAGCACTCATGTGATTACACAAAGCAGAGAAGGGAAAGTAAAGATTGTGTTTGCGCAAAAAAAGGAAAAGAAATAAGGTAAAAGATCCGATGTGAAATCTGCTGTGAGATCAGTCTGTTTATTTTGTTGCGTCTCCACACAGTGTTCCCTGGCTGCCTTGGTGGTGCCATTGCAGGCTGAAGATACAGGGCTAGCATCGCATCTTGTTGGGGAGCAGACTTTGCCTTTTCTCCGTTAGCGTCTATAGCTTAGGTGCTAATGCTGAGCTCAGTTGTTTTGGACCTGAGGTTGATTGGCTTTGAGGCTGCGCAGAGCTCGTCGCGCCGCTGCCGACTTGGCGATCCGGTAGCTGCGGCCAACTCCTTTAAACTTGCCCTTACCGACGACCTCCACCGTCACCCGGACTTTCCCGTCATATGTTCTCTCTGCAGGGCTGTACACAGGAAAGGTAAAAGGATCTCAGACCGTAGATACCATACATTTCCCCTGTTCCCCATATAATGCACACTTCCTCCACATTCACCAGTCAAATGTTTTGATTATTATTGAGAGATGATTATTTATGACAATTGTTATTTCAGAAATCGTCAGAAAACTGTTTCAACATTCAAACTGTACAGTTGAATTACTTTTTTTTAAATCAGTGCATGACTTGACATGAAACAGGACCATCTTTTCTGCATAAACACAATGAAATAGGACTTGACACGATTGCCTGTGCAGCCCTATAAGCGAAGCAATTCATAACATCACACTAACTAAATGCACAATAACAATTATTTGTTCACACCAGTTAGGCTCTGCTAACATTGCTACAATGAATATTGTCCAAGTTCTTCTGATAAATGTAATGCATAATTGTTGATCTCCTACCTGAACTTGGCAGTTTCTGGCTCCATCTCGAGCAGCTCCCTCACAGGAGAGCGTGGCACATTGGCAGAGAATTTCTCTGTAAGAAGTGAGAGGATGGCGAGTTATGAGGTAAACAAAGTGATATAAACATCCTCAGACCTTTAATTCTTCAAAAATATCAACACGCACAATCCTCAAGGTTTGTGGTCACTCAAGTTCCCTGCATTAATTGCATTAATTAAAGAATCATGATGGAAAAATATATAAAGAAATAAATAACCTTTCACTCTCTCTTACCTATAAGCGGCCTCATCATTGGATAATACACTTGCCACACCGTCTCCAATGACATCCTGCTGTCCATGTAAATTGCTCCAGCTAGTGACTCAAAGATGTCCCCCATGGCCTTAGGGACCTCGATGTCCTCCTCCTTTTCCTCGTCTTCTTCAGAGCGTCGCAGCTGGTCGCAAAACACATAAAGCTGTCAGCTGATGCCATAATAATGGTGTGTTCCAGTTCTACTGGGAATTTCCAATTGGAAATTTCAACAGGAACGCCCCCTTAAGTCGGATTTCTAACACGGAAAGTCGAGAGAATCTCTCTACCCCTGACTTGGTGATCCAAGATGACTGCTCCGTGTTTCATCAGTTAATAAAAGCTGTAGTTTATGCTGTTTATTAGCACTTCTGTGTACTTGTGTCTCCTTTAAATGTTCGTCGACAAAGTGCTGTCCAACTGCTGTCTGTGGATGTGTTGCTACTGTGTACTTTAGTATGCATAAATACTGCATAATGCATCGTCATCAACCGGCATTGGTAACAATGGCAGTAAAAAGTAGTGTTATGATCAACAGTGAAACCATCAAAGCAAGCTGTCAAAAATCAGTTCATAGTACATTTTATGTAAAAAAAAAAAAAAACACCCGACCCTTTCTTTACTCTCCCATGTTTTGGTCATCTCAGCTGGCATTGCTGCATTTGCAAGTGAAAATTAGTGTGTTGTTGGTTAGTGTTGCCAATGTGAAAAATGATTTCAATGCAAGCTACCTACTGCCCCCGTGTTCCTGCTCAACACCCCCTGCTACAATTATTATTATTATTATTGATAATAATAATAATATCACACTGCACTACTATTTTCAGGTCTGTGTGAATGTGCTAATGTGTGTTCTCCTTCTCCTGCTCTCTCTCAATTCAGTGGGTTTTATTGGCATGGGAAAAGATCTTTACATTGCCAAAGATCTGACCACCCGAGCACATCTGGTACCAATCTGAATCAAAACATGATCATGCACTGAATCAATCTGGAGTTGAATAGTTAGTATCATGAACACCAACGCACAAATTTGTCCAAGACTAATGCATTCAAGTTAACTGTGATAAGTTAGTCTCTCTGTGCTCTTTACACAACCCTGTCATCTGAGACAATCTTCCTTCAAATAAGTTATTATTACAAACAAGGAACCATCCTAAACAATGGTAGTTGCTAAGCAACTGGCTGTGGCCAAGCAAAAATGTTGATCACATCCCACACCCCCCATATTTCACAGATTTCCACCCATTTCCATGCCCCGTTCTGTGACTCTCTGTTGCCACTACTGCTGAAGCCTCACTAAGATAGCAGTCCAGCTCTGAACCACCACCTGGGCCACAGTGAGGATGGAAACTCAAAAGGGGGCTGGTCTGGAATCCATGTGACTGTTTCCTCTGTTTGTCGGCCAGTTATGCAATCACTGTATCAATTTAACTGTGTAGGTCAGTGTGAGTCTGGGTTTAAGTGCAATGTTTAAATATCAGCCTAACAGCCTAACAGTCTGGTAATGTTCTGACACTACATGCTACATTAGCAGCCTCATCATGTTATTGTTACTCTTATTTTATCATTAGTGAGGAGTGGAATGGTACCATATTACTTCAGCACATGTCTTTATTTCTTTCAGCTGTTTTTCCCTCCAATATGCTTGGTTATGTGCCTGTTCCCCCTAAGACATAGAAGTAACTCTTCAAGCACAATGAGGGGAGATCTGGTGCCAAGATAGCCATTTCTGAGGTAACTGCATTTTCTCTTCAGTGCTGAAATATGAAACAGATTCATAGAAGCATACAGGCCTGTTTTTCAGGCAGACGTTTTGAATTCTGACTGTTAAAAACTACAAAAGCAAAGATTGGGTTTCTTCCTACAGGGCATTGTTGTTCAGTACTGACGCAAACAGGACTCACCTCGGAGTCCATGCCTTGCATCTCGTTCTTCTCCAACTGAAACTGCACAAAGTCGTCAATGACGTGGAAAAGCTCAGGTGAGATGGCCTTGAAGTACTTGTGGTAGTCATACTTGACGGCCAGAGAGGCAAAGATGGTGTTGTTGACGAGTGCTGAGCGCAGGTCGGTCAGCACGCCTGGAGAGTGCTGCCGGGGGTCTTCATAAAGGTGCTTCGTTATGAGGTAGTCTAGAATTGCATCACCAAGGAACTCCAGCCGCTGGTAACAATCTGAAGGGAAAGGAAACAAACAGCTAGGTTTGTGGGTAGGTGCAATCAACATTTGCAGAGCACATTCATGCAGCACTAACTAACAATGGATCAAATGACTGCACAGAGGAAATGTAATCTGAGAGGGGTCACTTGCAGTGACGAACCCTACCAGACTTATCACCAACTCTTCAGTTCCCCTCAGCTTGACAGGGCTTTTTTTCCTCCTTTCTTTAATGTAGCCAGGATATTCTGCTGCCTGCCTGCTTTCCAGCCGCAGCAGGCAGCCGTTTCCAATGAAAAAGCTCTGATAAACCCACTGTTCAGAACATGCCCAGCACCACACAGGAGACTGACACAGTTAGTGTCCAGCTCAGGAACATGACAGCTAAAGAGTCTTTTTTTTGAGTTGTGGAGGATGACCCACGGTTAAAAAGGAGTGACTGCTGGACTTACATCCATTAGGATTTGGGTGCACCAGATATTCATAAATCCACTTACAAGCTGTGTGTGTCCTTTCTAAGTTCTCAGTAACTTCTAGCAAGTTTCAAATGAGTGCTTTACTAACAGTTTGAGGAGGCCAAAGCCTTTTAATTTCCTTCAGAAATTCAGGTATGTTTATTTCTATCTGTATACATTGAGAAAAGTCTGTGTTTCAGAATCGAAGGTATTCATGCCAACCTAAAAAATATTTTTGTTTATTTAGTCTATATTTTGTAGTTTGAGGTATATATTGTGTTATTTTTAAGTGTTATTGATAATATCCCCAAGTTTCAGTCAGGTCAGCTGTGTCCACCATATCAATACCACTTTTACTCTTAGGGCCAAGCATGTCATACATCAGCAAGCTGCCACCTGGCAGTCAGTCAGTGTAAATCTAATATCTATGTGAGAACAAGTTTCTGTGAGACAACCAGTTTTAAAACAAGTTATACTCAGGATAAGTCTGAACTTCTAAATATTGGATGCAGCCGGCTACACGTGGCTCCAATTGTTCTCTTGAATATGTTAACAGGCACGGTTTGCTAATGTGCTCACCTTAATAACTATTTTATGAAGCAAAAATATATCAGTGGTGTGTTTATAGTGTGTTCTGCTGCCCCCCACAGTGGCCAAAAATAGCACATTAAATTGGATTCGCATTACTATGGAGACACCAGAGCTGAGCAGCGTTTAAGGTTGGGAAGACGGTGAAATTACAAGCGAAAGAAAACGGATAAGTGGATAACCTACGTTTATATTTACTCATTTAGCTGACGCTTTTATCCAAAGCACCTTACATTGCTGTATATGTCAGAGGTCACATGCCTCTGGAGCGTCTTGCTCAGGGAAACACTGTGTCGCTGTGGGATCGTAAACAACAACTAGGTTTCCATCCAAATGCAGCAAAAAAGTTAACCGAATTTCAAGACAATCGACAAAAGAATTTTCAAAAAGTTTCCATCCACTACGGTTATGCCAATATTATTATGGATTCCTTGTGGTGGATAGGACCCACCTAATGATAACACTCTCCTGATGCTGCAGGCAGTGGTCCTCAAACCTTTTTTGTCACGCCCCCCATCAGAAGCCAAATAAACATTCATGACTTCCCCACTCCAGCAAAAGTGGATTTAATCTCTATCCATCATTAACAGGTGGACACACCCCCCAGTTTGAGAACCAGTCTTGTAAGGTGAATTCTGACCTGTAATGGTGTTGTAATGGTAGGAAGCGTGGGTGAAGGCTTGCAGGAGGTAAGCCTTGTTCTGAAAGGTGTAGTTGATCTTTTTTTCAAAGTTCTCGAAGCCGGATATGAGGTGGTTGAGAGTTCGCTCAGCGTCTGGATGGTCCAGCATGCAGCGGGGTGGGATCTTCAGCCAGCCATAGCACAAGCCTACGGCTACGATCTGACAGCTCTGCAATGTTGTTCCTTTCGGGGTCCCTCTCTCCAATGGTAACACCTGTTGTCATCAAAAAAAACTTCTTAATACCTCTGTAAGCCCCCGCTGATAGTTTTGATAAACATTGTTTTGGCACCCTACGTGGTATGGCTCCAGAATACATGTATATCTGTAAAACCTGGGCTTTGCTGTCCAGGCCTCAGCCGTGAAACACTCTGCCCAAAAGATGTCAAGCAGGCGAAGTCAGCATATTGCTCATACTTTAATATCAAGCCTCCACAGGCAGACCGAGCGTTGCTGTGGGAGCAAATGACCATATATGGAACACCGGCTCCATCTGGCTCGGTATTACATAGAACAGAGCCATTGGTAGAAAAAGCAGTTCAAAACAGAGGAAATCTGAGGTTTTTGCTCACAGGGATTTCTTTTAAATACTTTTACCTAATTATTGCCACTATTCCAAAAATCCCACAGTAAACTACTATTACTGCTGAAATATAGTAAAAATACTTTACGCTATGACTGACTTTGATTTACTCAAACCTAACATCACAGTAAAAATGCAGGTTGGTTGGTAAAAGTTAATTAGTTTAAAGGCAGCACAATATCAGTGTCTATTTAGCCTGTTTTTCATTGCTGGTACCAGCTCAACTCGCCTTGACTTTGGCCCAAGGTCCTCCGTACCCAGAGATAGCACACCTCAATGTAGCTGGTCGTCATAGCAACGCCACACACAACTGCCAAGACGTAATGTTCAACACGACACACGCACCAGCTGTCTCTTGGTTTAAGTTAAAACGTTTCCACATTACTCAGGATGTAAAGACAGAATAGCGGTATGAAACTCTTACAGCTGTGTTTTCCTCTGCTGTTGTTGCTGGAGTCTCTGCTGCGCTGGCTGCAGTGGTCTGTGTGACTGTGGGGCCAGAGGGGGCTCTGGGAGGTGACTGCCCGGCCGGCCGGCTCGTTAGCTTCCCCGAGGGCACTTGCGGAACTTTCAAGCACATTTTTGATCCGCCATCAATTTTTGTAAAACTGCCAATATTCATCTACACAGTTGATTTCTCATCTCAAAACTTCTCAGAGGTGGATATCGTGATGACATATCACATGATTTTAAGATCTAAAACTTTCTGTTGCTATCCTGCCTGGCACGCGCAACCATGATGCAGTGAACAGTGACCATCGTCTCTGACCAATCAGTAGTCTGCTGTGTTTTCACGCCACATTCTAGTATCGCCTCAGCTCGACTCAGCTTGCTTGGAACCTTGATGGAGGCGACAAAAAAAGGACCAGGTACAGGTACAATTTTCCCCGAGGGAAACAAAAAAAGGCGAATAGAGTCAAGGTGAGCTGAGCTGGTACCATGTGGAGGGAAAGAGGCATTAAGGTTATAGAAATCCTTTTTTTAAAGATATTTTTAAGCAATTTTGCTTTTATTTGACAGCCAGTAGAGAGATGGTAAATAAAACTTGTAAGGCATCTTTCTAGCTCACAGCTCACCTTGAGGCCCAGTGAACAAAGGAACATCTGAGCGGCTCTCTCTCCGCAGCTCGTCAGGTAGCAGCCCAGCAGAGCCTCCACACAGTCTGCAATGCTCTTGTCAGCAATGCACTGCTCTGTGTGCAGGTCATAGGAGATGGACTGCTTGCCGAGCTCAACGCCGCAGTTCTCTTCAGACGGATTCCAAAAACCCACCACAAAGTCGTCCTCCTCTCCAGCCTTGCTGGGATCCAAGTAGCACATGGCATCCCACGAGCTGTAGTCAAACTCCTCGGCAGAGGGCCCGCTGGGTGCCGGCTCTGAGGCGTAGTGGACAGTGGTGGGATGGAGGGGCTTCTTGGGGGCCTTCCACTCATACGGAGACTCCATGGTGGAGGCGGAGCCCGAGGCTGGGGTGAGAGAGGGAGGGAAGCCACTCAGAGAGATCTTCTTACCAAAAGCACCAGATCCCAACAACATGTTGTCAATGAATTTGATGTGCTCCTTGTAATACTCCAGATCGTCCTCCATGTTGACTTCATCCTTTGGCTCATCCTTCAGCATCAGCTCAGCATCCTCGTCCACCTCCTCACACTCTTCATCGTCCTCATCGTAGTCATTTCCAGACTGCCCATTGGCCAGAGGCTCCTCTTTGGCCTGGATGATGGACACAAACAGGAAGGAAACGAGAATTCAAGTTAAGAATTTTCTCTGGGGAGTATCGGACAGACTGCATTAGTCAGTGCTTTTGTCTTTTGGAGGGAAGGGGAGCTGATCCTATAATACAGTTTGTATGCATTAACAGGCACGTGCACACATAGACATCAAAAGGGGCTTCAGCACCTGTCCTTTTTCTTCCTCAAGAGAAAGTGCCCTTTTTTCTGGGATGCTTTTTTAAATAAAAGAATATACAGTATATTTATTCCTGTTTGCAACAGATTCCCTGTCAAACAAATCTATTTACTGGGGGAAAAAATCTAAATAGGCTATCAGGTCAGAAGATGAGACTTTGGAGTTCTGATGCCCTCCCGCTCCCTCCCTCTCTCTCAATTCAAATTAGATTTATTGGCATGAATGTAACAACATTTCCAAAGCATCATATATACACACACACACACACAACATATATACCCACTCTCTCCCTCCCTCCCTCTCTCTTTTTCTCTCTCCCACTCTCTCTCTCTCTCTCTCTCTCTCAATTCAAATTAGCTTTATTGGCATGAATGTAATAACAACATTTCCAAAGCATCATATATACCCACTCTCTCTCCCTCCCTCTTTCTCCCTCCCTCTCCCTCCCTCCCTCTCTCTCCCTCCCTCCCTCCCTCCCTCTCCTCCCTCCCTCCCCCCTCTCTCCTCCCTCCCTCTCTCCCTCTCTCCCTCCCTCCCTCTCTCCCCTCTCTCCTCCTCCCTCTCTCTCCCTCTCCCTCTCCCTCTCTCCCTCCCTCTCCCTCCCTCCTGCCCAACCAGAGCAGCTCACAGACAGACAGCAGCCCCTCCAGCTTCTCTCCCAGCACTGTTTTTCTTGGCTTGTGTGGAGGTGAGTGGTGATGAACAAAAGACTAAACTACCAGTGCCTCCAGTTTACCGCTAATTAAACAGAAGACATTGACATTTCAGACATTTGACAAGTCCCTGCAGGTGAATGGGATAAAGAAAATAACTAAAGCATATCACCACAGAACTTCCCCAGTTGACTTCCATCAAGAGTATTTTCCTCTGAAATGTGCTGTGTAAATATGCAGATTAGCTTGTTTTGGTTAATACAGAATAAATCTGCAGATGCAAACAGACAGAGGGTATTAGGCTTAAAACCAACACCATCTAAAGGCGTATTCTTGAAGTTTTATTTCCATTAGAGTAAAAGAAGACCTGGAAGCAAAATAGACCAAAGTCTCAAAATTGACCACTCCATGAAAAAAGTGCCTTAAAGAGTAACTTGATAGTTTTGATGGTCGGCTCCTCATCTGATAACTCTCCATTCTGTTGGTTTGTCGTATGCTGATAGATCCTTATATAATACAGACAGCCCTCCCTCAAATGTGCAACTAAGTCCATGCCACCATCAGTAATTGTGTGTGTGTGTGTGTGTGTGCGCATGGTAAATGTAATATAATAGCAACAATAATAAAGTATTTGATCAATACATTAATGTATTCAGGCAATTCAGTATCCTGTTGCTTGGCTGTGTGAAGCTGAAGGTTGTCTTTACTCATTTGGCATCTTGCTTGTGAAACAAAGTGTAAAAGTATTTAAATAACATTTATTTGAATTATGCCTGCAGCCCAACGCCACAGTTTAGTGTGAAGATTTATGTGAAGTATTATGTATTCCAATAACCCCAAAAGAATTGAAACAATTTATTGCCTTGTGAAAAATAAACAAATTATTAATGAAACTATACACTTGAAACTAGTAGCATAGAAAACATGCACATTGTGGCATAGTTTGCGTTTCTGTCGCCTGCTCCTGTGATAAACCTAGTGAAAACTAAAGAAGACTGTGGTCTCTGTGTGAACTGATTATTTTGTAGAAAAGTTGTTGAGTTAATATATTTATTTTAAAAAAATTCCCTTTTTTTCACTTGAGCCCCTGCCCACCAAAATGTCTGTACACGTACCTCTGCATTAATATTTTTCTCGTGCTGTTATCTTATGTCAAGTGAACATCAACAAATGATTTTATTATACAATATGTCCAGGGAGAGGGTGGATAAGTTTTTCCTTTAATGGGCAGTGTTCATAGAAACTAATTCGACCTCCTACAGGGAGAGAAAGATGGCAGAAAGCAGGCCAGGAAAGGCACACAAGTGTTCAAAAGTGCAACTGCATTCTTCCACGAGCTGCTTTTGCAGCAAGTCTCGCATTCTGTGCTTTCAGGCCAGACCAAGGCTGAAACCTGGTCATGGATGAGGTAATTACAGCTCACACCTGCAGCCCAGCCCTCATGTCCAGTCTGTTCCCCCACCCTTTTGTATGGTCTTCCACTCCTGTTGTTTGTAGTGCTAGATCCTGGCCTTGCGGTCACAACTGCTGCTCACAAACCTCAGTTCACACGTCATCATAGTGGTCGAAATATAAAATATTCAGCACTCTGTGCGTGAAGTAATTAGCTACTCTTAGTCATATCTTTGTTTTACTGTGATCTTCCACATTATTGATGCACTGCCTAACGGTGTGTGTAATAACTGAATTAACCACGACAGTATTACACGTATTTTTCTTCAATACACCTTACCTACGATTATGAGAAATACATTATTTACGGCTTCTATTTTCGATTCGACTCCTCGATGCATCAGGATGCATCGCCTCAAGGGTGGGAATTTCTAAGTACCTCATTACGATTATTAGGGCTACGATGTGATTGTAAAACAAATTCAATAAAGATGTATTTTTCTCACTGTGTGACTACTTGGTACTTTTAAAGCAAAGTATTTGTGACAGAGAGAGAGACAGAGGGTAATGATGGTATAATATATATAATTTATAATGGTAAAGGGTAATAAATTGGCAATGTTGTTATTACATTCATGCCAATAAAGCTAATTTGAATTGAATTGAGAGGGGAGGGAGGCAGCCTGCACAACATACACACAGAGGTACAGACAGTAAAGGTCATTATTACAGCGTTATTACTGACCTCTGCTGTTGCTATTTTTATTTCTGAGGCTGCTGTTATTAGTATAGAGTCAGATAGGTGTTGAACTACGCACTTTAATGCTCCAGCCAAACCGCGTTCACTCCACCTTAATATATCTGTTCCTTTTTTTGTCTCCTATAGTGTGGTAATATGTTTGTGTCTTGTCCTGTAAGTTGATTATTGTAATCTTGTATTGAGCACCGTGGGCCTTGAGAAACAGCATTTCGTTCATTTGTGAACTCGATATGTGGATGAATGACAAGAAATCAACTTTACAGCAGCCAAATAACGTCCTGCTCAGCCTCCACACCGCAGTCTGAAGAGATGTTACTGCCTTTGAAGTAGTTGGAAAACAAAAGACAGACTTTAATAAACGGACACGCTGTGACCTACACTGTACATTTACAGCCAGACTGAAACGTAGCGCTCCTGTTTTCCTCTTTTTCACCGTCACCTACTGCCGCCTGTCACGTAGCCGTCATTTGAAGAATGAGCAGAGGACGCTCGCTAAGCGCTACCGTGTTGCACACTGTGCGGGTGAAAATCATTAACGTGAGTTGCGCATTGACTTTATTGATCATGTGAAATTTTAGTAGCAGCAGTCACTCAATCAATAGCTGCCTGTCTGTGCTAAACAGGGAGGACCACACGTCTCCGTTGTGTGCACCACACAGACAGTCTGGAGCTGCACTTCTGCATTTCCGAGTTCCGTCAACATTAAGTTATCAATTAAGCTCTAGATAATCGATTATTGACATTTGTGAATCGATTCATAATCATCCAAGTCCGCATCGCAATGCATCTAAAAATCTATTTTTTTCCCAAACCCACTACACTGACAGCAACCCCCAAACGGTCAATACTCAAACTCAAAGGTCCTACTGGTCTACAGCTACCACTAGGTGGAGACATTGCATGCCAAGAAAGGGCAGTACAACACTGTCACTGAACAGTCATCAATATAATGTGATGTACATATTAGATTTATGTGATACACAGCAAGTTGTATTTTCAACTCCGTTTTAAAAATGTCAGTTAATTATGTAGTGTATTTCAATTTATCACAATATGTATCACATTGCAATTTATTGTGATACAAACGTACCATGACCCTTGTATCAATGTATATGTACTGTATCATGAGGTTCTTGCTAATACCTAGCCCTGATAGAAAGCATCCTGACTGGAAACATCACTAACTGGCATGGGATGCACAGTAGGGTAAGGTCTACAAAATTTCCATCGGACAATGTCTACATTGAAACATTGGGATGGACGATGACAACGGGGGCGTGCGCGGGCACACGTGAGGGAGTAGTGACCGTCTTACGTGCATGTGTTCACTCGCACAGACTTCACTCAGTTAAAAAGTTAGCCTCCTAACAGACAGCCTCCTATGACGTTACAAGTCGTGGTGGATGTTTTACAAGCACAGACCAGGTAAAGCAGCACTGAACACAGGGTGCAGCGGGTGATTAAAACTGCTCAGAAGATCATTGGTATCCCCGGCTCCCCCTGTTTGCATGTCAAAGTGTCCTTGGGATACTGAACCCCGAATTGCCCCTGGCGGCTGTTCCGCCAGTGTATGAATGTTAGTTTCCGTTTGAGCACTTAGGCTCAGTGTATGAATGTGTTTGACTGGTGAATGCAGATTTAGTGTAAAAGCGCTTTGAGTGGTCGAAAAGACTAGAAAGGCGCTATACAAGTACGGAGCATTCAGTGATATCGGTGAGCTGAGGTGCCTGCAGAGCCCAAAGGATACCCACCCTAATTAATGACATTCAATTATTTTGCAACAATTTTGATAACAATTTATTGTTTAACTGAATTTACAATCAAAACACCAAACACTGTCCGGTTCCAGCTTCTCCAGCTTCTCCAGCTTTTCTGTGGTTTATATTATTGTAAACTGAATTTCTTTGGGACTTTGATGAGAATAATTAATACAAATGAAGAAATCAACCTTTTCATTATTTTATGGACAGAGACTCATTGATTAAATAAAAAATAAGACAGATTAATCATTAATGATAACAGTTACATTAAAAAAAAAACTAACTTTTATAACCTTTTTTGGCTGAGCTTGTCAAGAGTGGGCAATGGAAATCAAATCTACTTCTGTATTTGGAATGGCCCCCACAGGTCCATAGATATTAAAAAGATAGCAACAATGTTATTAACTGTAAGAAAAGATCTGTGTCAGCTGATATCACCACATGGTATTTATCACCCTATCACTCAACCCTTCTGAAGAGGTGTTGTTCCTTTAAAATGTGACTCTATGGGGGTTGTGCATTTGCTTGTTAAAACGTTCACTCCTGCACTTCATGTGGTTGACAGTTATTGACTGCGTAGGCAGTGGTTTGATCCCTTTCTGGGTTAGGATAAATTATTGAACTATAATTTTGAACTATTATAGGTTGTCAGTTTTTCTCTTTGCCAAAATTCTTCTCCTGTATTTGTGCCATTTTCAGTTGAATACACTTATCGTAGTGAAGTAAAAGTACATATATTTTTTAACATTCATTTATAATATTCATTAAACTATATGTAAAAGTCGAGTGTCAAAGGCAATGGGGCTTCAAAGCAAAACACAAACATGTGGCCATACAAGGTGAAAGCATGCCCTCTAGTGGCCAGACAACATCATAGCACTAACAACATCTATGAGGGAAATGAATGGATGAATAAAACATAATATAGTGTATTAGGAAGGGCCTATCACTAAGCACACTCAGTACTTGCAGTGCAGTGCAGTATAAAGTAAGAGAGCAGCAGGAAGTCCACTGACCTCCTCTGAATCCAGTTTGTCTGTGCTGCTCTTGTCCTGGTTGACCACGTAGCCAGGAGGCAGCCAGTTAACAGGAGGGTCAAAGATGGACACCACCATCCTGCTGGGGAGCCCCTTCTTCTTCCCCAGGCGGTACAGGTTACAATTGCTCACCTGGATATGGGCAGACCAAAGAGGATGAGTCGAGACCTGTGCACTCCATTATCAGTAACATACTGTGTCCTTGGAAAATTCAGCTTTAGTTGTAATTATTTCAAATCCTTGTATACTCGTGTGCATGTTTAGCTCAGTCGGTACTGTGTGGAACTCCTGTTAGGAAGATAGGAAAAACAATTCCAATTAACTGCGTATATTTCCCCCCCTTATTATTTGATTATAAGGACACTTTTGCACAGGCTCACAATAAGGCCCGTGCTGCAGGGCGTGTGCGCCCGGCGTTTGATCCGCATTCATAAACCTATCAACGCTAATTTTCATTTCCCTGGGGAAATTCAGGGTGTGAACTACGGTGGAGCCGGGGGGAACTTAGCTCCCCTAATAAGACATCACAGTTCCCCTAAAAGCATGATTTGTGATATTTTGGGGGGGTCAAATATTGACAGCATGCTTTATTGACATCATTATCATGGATCATGCGGAGCGTCAGACTTCACCCAGAGGAAACAATCACTGACCGACCACAGCGGGCCAGTCGCTCCGCGATCTCCTGTCCCTGGTCCGCCCCACTCCTTCTCCGGTGCAGACAGGCTGTGAACGGTTCGTGATCGTTGGCTGGATGAAAATTATGCATGATCCATGCACTACTGCAACTAGGGGCTCTCCGCAGCGCCATGCAACTTTCTACATTCTTCCCAGAGGTGTGTCAAGCAAGCCAGAGACTCTTTTGAATGTCCTTCAGAACTCTTCAAAGTAAAAGCTTTCAATAAACTCAACATAAAGCATTGGAGATTAGTCTGAAATTTATATTACAGCGTAATAAGGGGTCAGAAACAAAGGGAAATAATAGGGAAACACATTTAAAGATGGCAACAAGGTAAAACTACACTGAAAGAAATAATAAACGCAACCCTTTTGTTTTTGCCCCCATTCATCATGAGCTGAACTCAAAGATCTAAGACTTTCTCTCTGTACACAAAAGGCTTGTTTCTCTCTAATATTGTTCACAAATCTGTCAAAATCTGTGTTAGTGAGCTCTTCTCCTTTGCCGAGATAATCCATCCACCTCACAGGTGTGGCATATCAAGATGCTGATCAGACAACATGGGGATTGCACAGGTGGGCCTCAGGCTGGCCACAATAAAAGGCCACTTTTATTATTGTTAATAATAATAATAACTGGTCTACTGTGGTCTAGGTGTGAAAGAGGAGCGGAATCACCCTTTTTTGTCCTTTTTTTTTGCATTTCACAAATAGTATGAGGGTTTTACAAATCTGGAACTGTGTCTTAAAGAGTCCAGTGTTTGTTGCCCGCAACAATACTATTGTTATTGATTTTCCTTTGTTTTTACTGTTTAAAATGGTATCTGAGGTTTGTATTTGCGGATATTCGCTCAGCATCTCCTCTCGCTCGCAAAAACTGAAAACGGATCCGTCTGTGAATTGAATGGTTGGTATCATGAACACCGCTGCACCAATCTGTCCAACACAGCGCTGTCAATGTCAGACCCACCTTCAAGAAAGTTATTAGCAAGCGTGTAAGGAGCCTAGCTAAGGATAGCTATGTAAACATTAGAAAACAGCTGGGATGTCAAAGTTAGCATGACGTATAGCTGATAGTCAATATCCACTGCAACCCCACCCTGCCCCAAAAGTTCACTTTAATTGGTAAATTAGAAGCAAACTACTGACACCCAGTACTTGCTTATTTTGTGAACACAGCTGGACACAAGCTGTAGTTGCCGTATTGTCTGTTTGATCAGTCCGTCACATTCAGTGCTGCAAACTGCCTGACGGCCCCCTGAACTATCATAGTACTACCCTGAAACTAAGTAGCTCTTTCAAGAATATTCCTCTGGAATGCTGTTTATAAACTTTAAATCTGCGTAACAACTATATGATTACCTGATTATCTTTTTAAACTCAAAGAAATGAGTTGTAATTACCATAAATACTATTTCAGATCAAATTATGTTCTTATCAGGAAATGATCCAGGAATTTCATTAAGCTGCTATTTCCAAGGTCAGGAATGAACTTCTACAAAGTGTAATAGTGCACGATTTGGTGCATTTGGGATAATATATCTAAAACATATACAGTACCTGAATATATTATATGGGAACATTGACAAAACGTCTTGAGCCCTTCCTGAGAGGATGGAATTTGCTTCAATAAGATGGTTTCAGTGTTATCATGTAACGTAAGTATGGAATCTCCATGACAACTCCATCCACTGATAAAAGCCACAAAATAGAGATGAAAGCTCCTGAAAAACTATTCAAGTGGATGTTGTGCTAAGAACTTTGTCCAACTGCTATTTCCAAGGTCAAGAATGAATCATTAAGCTGAGAGAGGAACATATTTTTCATTTTTTGTGCAGCATCTACTGCAACATTTTAAAAAGACAACACTTTATATTTTTAGAAATATTTCTACAACTTCAGCATTCACAGAAGCAATGAAATAACTTCAAACTCTTGTGTCATTTCACTTATGATGCTCCATCATTCTTATTATTATTAAGAACCTATCTTACCTTTTTGCTGCGCATGTAGCTGAGTCGTCCCTCGTGAGCGTCAGGGTAGGTACAGAACAAGTATGTGGTGATGGCATGCTTGAGGAAAGAGTCTCCTAGCATCTCCAGCCGCTCCAGGTTGAAGCCGTCACTGGCATTGGATAGTGTCAAGGCCTGCAGGATGAGGCCCGGGTTGGGCCCCAGACTTTTGGGGCAGTCTCCTGCCTGGGCTCTGTGCTGGGAAATAGCGGCAAGGTCAGGAGAAGGTGCTGTGGGAGGGTTGGGACACGTGGCTGCCTGGCTGCAGACTGAGGTAGCTTTATTTGTGTGGTCAGAGGTCCTCCCCGATGTACATTCATCACTAGGCTGTGAAGGACTGGAGCTGGGCTTCTTCAAGCTGTGAGAGGGCTGCACAGGAATTGAGGTAGTGGTTTGCATTGATTCAGGGCTCTGCAGCCCAGGGGAGCTGGGCTGGGAGCATTGGCAATTGTCATGTTGGGGAAGGTACTCAATTTGGTGGCCGTCATCGCCGCAGTTGGTGACTAGGGCAGTGCCGTTGGTTAGGTTCCTCGGGCAGGTGGCTTCTCCAGGTTCAAGGGCTGCAAGCTGCCCCTGCTCCAATAGGGAAGAGTGGCGACTGGGATGTCTTGTGGAACTGGGTTCAGGGGTTACAGTCTCTAGGTGCTCACAGTGACCCTCACCATCCTCGCTGCAGGACTCAGGACAGGAGATGAAGGTTTTGCTGTCGATAGATCTCTTCCAGCCAAAGTCCAGGTTTGGATACCTGTCACATACAAATAGACCATCTATACATCAGAATGTTGGGTAACTGTGTGGCTAAGTTTTTATTCAACTCAATTTTATTTATACAGCGCCAATTCATAACAGAAGTTAACTCATAGCAAATGTATTTAAGGCCGACTGTAACGTTACAGAGAAGTCTAGCTACAGGTGAGTCAAAGATTCTCTTGTTTCTCCAAAAGAAAAAAAACTTGGATTCAGGAACTTTACATTTTGTGAGGTATACCAGTAATGACTAAAAGACTACTGTTTGAGGTATAGTATGTAGTATGAAACTGATAAATAGATTTATTTTGCAGCATGCTAGGCCAGGCTTTGCTAGTTTCCAACAATAAGAGGAATATAAATGTAAGTACGCTTAAAACGTATTCTAGTTTTAAATCTTATATATGAGAACCGGGCTGCAGCCAACCTGTAGCAGAGGTTTGCTTCGGTATATTGGTGCATAAATAAGAATTATATAAAATAAAAGCAAATAAAAAGCAAGTACTATAAGCACAACTGTAACATTAACTAACTAAGATTAATGATGATTATAAAGCGACAACAGTCTGTCACGTTGTGTGCCTGCCTGCCTTGTTTAGTTCGCAGTCCTGTTATTTGTACTCCCTTCTGTATCGGTTATCTAGTCTGTGTTTTGGTTCCATGTCTTAGTTCCCAGTCTGGTGTTAATGTCTTAGTATCTACTCCTGCTCCGTGTAGTTCAGTGTTTGCTATTTTGACCGGTTCAGTATCTGTCTTAGAGTTGTTGAGTTTTGGGTTTGGTCCTGTCTGTTGTTCTTTGTCCAGTATCTGTTATATACTCTGTTTTGGTATTTCCCTTATTTGCTGTTCTGTTCCATGTTTAGTGTTGTCCTATTCCCAATCGATTCCGTCTCTGTTCCCTACTCCATTCTGTTAGTCAGTTGTCATGTTTCCTGTTTTGAGGTTTGGTTCCTGGTCTTGTGTTCTCTGTTAGCCCTGTGTTTTAGCTCCTGCATCGTAGCTCCTAGTTCTGTGTCTCAGTTCATGTCTTAGTGTTTACTTTTGGTCTGTGTACTTCTGTGTTACTTTGCCCTTGTCTGCTCTGTGTTCTCTTTAATCTCAGCTTCAGTCTGTTTTCATTGTTGGTTGTAGTTCTTGGTGATCTGTCTGCTTGTGTCTTTATTAGTTTATTTTTATTCCTCTGATCCGTTATGTGTTCAGTAACCTGTGTCATGTCTGTTCCCTCCAGTATCCCTCTGCCTGGCTGCCTCTCTGTTCTCCCCTGCTCTCTCTCTGCCTGCCTGTGTCTTGTTAGTCTGTCACCTGTGTTGCTCCCACCCTGCTGGTTAGTCCCTGTGTGTGTATATATACCTGGTGTTTCTGTTTAGTCTTTGTCCAGTCATTGTAGCGTGTTTACGCTCTGTCCCATGTTGCTGTGTGTTGTCCTGCCTGCCTGCCCTGTTTCCCTGCTTTCTGGATTATTTTCCCTTCTTGGATTTTTTCAGTTGGATCACCTGGTTTGTTTGAACTGTTATTGTTTCTGGATTACCTGGGCAGCCACTCATTGTAAGTGTGCTTGCTTTTGGTTTGTTAATAAACCTTTTGAAATGTAGCTGTCAGCCTATGTGTCCTGCATTTGGGTCCTCCTACCTTCTCCACACCACAAACCCTGACACAGCCCCCTTTGATACCATTATTGTTGTTTAGTATCAAAGTGCTTCTAAGTTACACAAGCTTGTCCATCACGAGCAAGATGTCTCTTGATTTAAGTTAAAACGTTACAACATTACTCAGAATGTAAAGACAGAATAACAGCAAATAACAGTAGTACGAACATTTAAACTGTCTCACAGCTGCGGGTCTTTACTTTCACGTTGCTGCTCTGACTCGTCTGCTGCGTTGGCTGCAGCGCTCTGTGTGGCTGTGGGCCCCGTGAGCAACCTTGAGGACCAAGGGGCTCCGTGAGCTGACTGGCCGTCTCGTTAGGCCAAGCTTCTCAACTCCGAAAACGTTCGAGCACATTCTCAATTCGCCAACAATTTTCGTAAAACTGCTGATATTTAAAATCTACACAGTTGATTTCTCGCCTCAAAACTTGTTAGAAGTGGATTTTGTGATGAGACAGCATGTGAAAATTGTAAAACAAGTTCTGTTGTTTTCCTCTAAAGAAAAGACCAGTTGTTGATACAGTTCTTGTGCTTTGCATTATGGGCCACAGTATGCGAGGTAGACTGGTCCGATACATATTGCAGATTTTTCCCAAATCAGTACGCCATCCGGGTATTTTTGGTATACTGCAGATCTTGCTTTTGTTTGCATACTGCATAGTACATTTGGGCCTAATCAGTACGTACTACTAGTATAGTAGGCGGTTTCGAATACAGCCTATGTCTTAGAACAATGTTGTAACATTACCCATGAATCCTTCCAGGTTTACCTAGAAGTAATAGCACAATAGTAGTGCAGTCATACACTGCTTTACACAGGAATTATTGTCTGACTGACTGAAAGTGGTTCATTTTCATTAAACACTGAACTCATATGTTGTGTAGCGTATGTATCTGGGACCTGAAGTCAGGGGGGAGGGTCTGGACTCCCACTCCAGCTTCACTGGCAGTCTGGGCTCTGAGCTCCTCTGCAGTCAGGAGGCAGTGGAGGCGGTAGAGGATGCTGGGCAGACACACTGCTTTCCTCCACAGGGAGGCAGGGATGGGGTGGATGGCACACAGCTCTGGAACCAGGATCTAACAAACACACAACACACTGTTAGACAGGGACTGTTGTAGAACAGAACGTATGTAAGGTGACATAGCTGGAACTCATTTCTGGAGTAAATTTCACACTCGAGGAGTGACTACACTGGATCTGTATTAGTACAGCTTCATACAGTACATGATTAGCCCACATTAAATAGTTTCTACATCATGAAAATGGATTAAAATGAAATACTAAAAAGTAACCTTTGAAATAACATTTATAAATACATAATGTACTGCAATTTTTATAAAAAGAAACGATAGTATGATGAATACGGCTTAGCAGATCACAGGGCTCTACAGAGAAACCATTCAGTCACATATGCCCCTAAAATAGATCTGTGCAAACTGGAAAAATGATTTATGAGCACAGTATGCGAGTAATGACTACTGTGATCCCTCCCTACCAAACTTTGCAAATGGTGAACTCACTGTAATGCATAAATGGTTGTGATTGACCAGTTAATACGTAGCATTAACAATGTAGACCACTTTTCCTGCACAAGGATTTAATGAATGAAAACAATCCACAGAAATGAATGGAATTAATGCTATACTAGTGATAAGATATAAAATACACTATTATTTGAAATTATAATTAATATAGTAACATGTTAAAATATATTAACATTAAACTTACAGTATACTATTAAATGAACACTATGCTCTTTATTTAATGTTATAATATCATTCTAATACACTGATTTCTACTAGTTCCTCCTCCAGGATAGTGGATAGTGTCTCTGCAATGGACAGATGTAGATTTATCCAGAGTCAGGATGCTAGTGTGCCAATATGAGCTGCTTCATGGTTTATACAGCTGCAGCTGAACAATAATTACTAGTGATTTTGACAATATCAACTACGTATTGCGGCAGAGTAGAGAGTAATGGGTGCTGTGTGTAAACACTACTGTCTGGTATAAACAGGTCACTAATGGCCTTTCGACTGCTGTAGCCTCAGAAATATAAATGCCTAATTAAACAGAGACAAATGAAAACTACATGTCTTGAAACTAAAATGTCTTTGGTTTTAGTTGACTAAAAATAATTCATGCTACTCAAAATTAAAAACCGGCACCAAAACCAACTATGTTGGTGGGGTGTGTTGTTTCAGGTACAGCTAAGAGGAGGAATTGCAAACCAGGAAGGTGTAACTAACAGATCCATGAGTGTGAAGGTCTCTCAGACACCAGAACACTGCACAGCAGTTTATTACGCCCAGAGAGAGAATATTAATTTATGTTATTGGACGACACTGCATTGTATTGCTGCATCTTCTATGCCTGGGGAGTTTGCCAGAGCCCAACATTAAAACGAAAGATGGGGCTGTGTTTTTCAGCACCGTTCTACGGTCAGCGTGACCACAAAAGCAGCCGTTACCTGTTTGTTCTGCAGACTCTCCCACTTGGCCTTCCTCTTTTCTGCACTGCTGAGAGGCAAGGCTTTGCCCTTCTGGTTCAGGTGCCGAGGGGTTAACAGGTTCAGTCTGAGAGCACAAGAAAACAAGGGCCTCAGCTTCATACTGGATGGACAGAAGCAGCAGAACCAGAGCTACTACCTTGTTCATTCTATGCATTCTTCTTCCATCAAAATCCTGTTGCTTTATGCTAGTAGCGGCTGACGTAGCCTGGAGCTTCTAGCCTTAAGCAGATGATGAGCAGGCTACAGAGGTCTGAGAAGCTCACTTTCTAACTCATTTTCTTGTAGCCTTCAGCTGACACTGACATGTCATTTATCAGACATCACACAGCTCCCTCTGGAGACACAAAAAGCCTTTATGCAACTTATTTACATCTGCAGTAGTACACCAACAACTTTCTACACTTGGACCTGTAAACCCAGTGGAGTTCCCCTTTAACACAGTGTAAAACCTGTTCTCTTGCACAAACTCAGGAAAACTTAAACAAAAAGAATTAAACTTGAGCTCAGTGGAAAATCACATCCCACTGTTGTGGACAGTGGTTTACAGACACATTTAACTGCCGTGATCCCCACGCTGCTGACCTGGATGAGGTGTGGTCTACGTCCAGAAGCGGCTGGTTCAGGTTGGACAGGTCCAGGTTGTACTTGGTTTTGTAGTACTCAGCAAATGTCTCATACTCAGGTGAAGGAAACTTACTGAGCGGCGTCAGGTCTGTGTACACATCAGCTACATAGAAGCGATGAGGCTGGTCGAAGTTACGATACCTGGGAGAGAAGCAGCGTGACGGTCATTATGTTCCTCATCCACAGTAAAATCTGTCTCACAGTTTCTAATAAACACTCACTTCTGAGTAAAGGTAAGTCCTGTATGTTCATATGGTACAGTGGTACCTTGGAATTATGACTGCATCCTGGTAGTCCTCAAGCTTGAAGGTGAAGGGGTTCTGCTTGGTGTACTGAGTGGTAGGAATGCCAGTGCGGGCCTCAGACCTCTCAATGTCCTCCATGAAGTTAAAGTCCATATCTAGTGTGTTGGATTCCCCAACTGAACAAGCCAATGAAGCAGCAGAGAGAGGATAATGAAACTATGAAGCATCTCTGGAAATATGAATATCTGGAAAAGGAATCCACCAAGCTTCAACTAGAGTGACTCTACTCACCAACATTCAGAGGTAGAACGCAGTAAGCCGAGTCGGCCAGCGTGGGCTTGAACTCCAGTGCAGGTTTCTCTAGGCGGAGGATATGGGAGAAAATATACTGGTGCAGGCGGGTGATGAGGTCGAGCTGGGCAGCGGTGAGTGTGAAGCCAGACTTCTGCAGCTCAATGGAGATGGTCACCTCACCCGAGCGAGTGTACACTGGGAAATGGGGGATCTGGACAAAAGGAAAGAACCAGTTACCATCCACAACCAATGATGATAGCAACAGACATGTTAGTCCAGTCTGAGAGAAGGTAAGAAGGTTTTAACCAGGAGACGTACTCGAGGTATGGGTTTGGCAGTCAATATGCCGAAGCACCTGGTGGTGTCCTCCGGGGGGTAGAGTTTCCTTCTGCGGAAGTTGAGTTCATCAGGGAGAGGGGTGGTGAGGACCATCCCAATCACATATAGGTAGTAAGTCTGCTCCGGGAAAGCGTAACTGTCCCGCAGACACTCTGGTATCTGGGGAGGACAAAAGAGGGTCAGGCGATTTTATTTCTCTTTTTTTTTTTTTATTCTACAGAAGCATTCCAAATACCGATATTCTTTTTTCTTTTCCGAAACACATAACATACAAACAAAGATTATCCCTAACATTTGTTATGTGTAGTTATGAGACCGGACCAAGATAACATGACATAATGCAGTTTAATAAGAATATTTATAACAAAATCACAGCTGATTTTGTCAGCTGCTTGCGGTCTTTTGTGGTGGCTTTGTGGTGTTACAAACACGTATGTTGCCCTCTGTTGGACAAAATATGCAACAACAACACTCATAACATGAAGGTCCGTCTTTCATCTCTCCATTTTTTTAATTGTTATTTATCGGCTGTTATAAACAGTATTGTTGTTTAGTGTATTGTGCTCATATCGGCAGATAATATTATACAGAGGTTTACTCTACATGCACACAACAACAGCTTGCTCCTCACAGTCAGATTACTTCCTTCAGTGCACTGAGGTGTTAAGCAACTCTGTTTGAAGACAATACTACCAGCCATGTCTTTCTTCTTTTTCATGTGGATGCTCTGACCTACAGAGACTTACACGGACACAGAACTGCGAAAGTGAGCTGTTTGTGAGAACCACATGGTCAGCTAAATCTAGAGTGCAATCCTATTTGAGTATTTATGGTAAATGCTCCCACACCAGCACCTTGTTGCTCTGCTGTTATTAGCTGCTGTTTCAACAAAAACGCCATTCAGGGTAGGGCTGTCGCAGTGAAGTAATTTTCACTGCGGCAATATGTTGCGGTATTATCGCATTTTTCATCAATGAAGTAATTTGGTGCCATATAGCAGAGTAAGAGTGTCTGTATCTGTCACCTCACTGCACAGCAAGCCGCTATAGCGTCCGCTGTGTTGACTTTTGCTGGCCGAGCAGGCTAACTTCCCGGTTTAGCGCTCTGCTAACGTAAAATTGTATACATGCGGCTGGTGTAGCCTTTTCAAATGTTACCGACCGAATGGATCACATTCTGATAGCGAAACGAATCATTTCGCTCGGGTTGCAACGGTCAAATATATTGATTCACTGTGTTACAGCCGCCGTTTTGGCCGCTAGTAAATGTTACTTCAAAGCGCGGGGTGCTTCCAGTCGGCTCAGAGGCCAGACGTGACTGTTTTTACAGTCAGCCAGAGTCAGTATTCAATGGCGGGAAATGTAAAGGGCTGCAGCGGCTCACTTCAAAGAAGCTCCATCACAGAGCCGTAGGGCAAGCATGACTTTGACAGGCAGAAGGAAAAGTAGTTCCTGTCAACAGAGCATAATTAGACCATCCTGGTGAAAGTATATATATAGCTTATGATAAAACACATACTCACTCCAAATTACTGAGTTTAGATATCGATCCTTTTATATGAGTATCGATCCTAGAGCAGGAAACGTTGGTATCAGAAATATTGATACTTTAGGATCGATCCGCACATCACTAGTTGCGGTGCTTACCATCCTCCGCGGTAGGCGTGACCAATAGCGCAGTATTTCAATTTTGCTGACTTAACCAGCGGTGAGTAAGAAATATTATGAATAATACATGTAATTTGTTAAGCTATGAGGAGAGTAAAAGTCCGCTAGCCGCTAGGCTAATTTATGTGGTGTTGATATCATATAGGCTAAAGCTCTTAAACTAGTGGTGGTGACTAACAAATACACTAATCTTGACAGTTACCATTAAGAAGAATTGTATGCTTCTGTTAAATGTGATCACTATTAAGCCGTGTTTTAGGTGTGTAATGGAGTCAATTTAAACTTTACTGGACTTTACCAGTCAAAATGATTTAATGTAGGCTAGTTACTGTACTTCTGTCTTGCTCAGAAGACAGGAGGAGGCATGCAGAGAACATAACCATATTCATCAGAGGAAAAGAAGAATAAGGAGGAGGAGAAGGAGAGCAACAAAGAAAATACTCCCCAAATAATAAAATAAATTCCTTTTTACATGCCTTGTTGTTTATGTGTACTGTAGATACAGAGGAAGAATGGGAGAACAGCACACATCTCATCGTTACTATGTGATGATAGAGCATGGGATAACAGTGGCTACTTTTAATACAGCCCACACCCCTAATATTACTGTGTAACTACAGGATAACAAGTGAAGAACATTCAAGATTTTTTACCTCTGTCTGCATACTTTATTCATCTTGAGTAATGTGTGTAAAGAATGAAAATAAATAGGCCTACTAGGCTCCTCTCTACTTTGACATTTAAGATTAGCTTGTTTGATCCACCTTCATACACATGTGACATTACTGTACAACTTGAGAAAGGTGAGTTGTTTTCTGCTCCAGCCTGCCTAAAAGAAAAGTGTTTTTGGGATTAAATGGGCTTTATTAGCTGCTGCAGTGCAGGATGAACTAAGAACAGACCCATTTCTCACCTTATTATTCTAAATCATGCAACGAAGAAGAAGAAATGCATAATAAATCCTGGGACAAAATCTGTAGTCAAATACTGTACAGCATGTAGTCTGATGAACAAGACTTGTGTTATAGCTGACTTGGGCAGTGAATTTAAGGAGAAATGTTTTATACCACCTCAAGAAGACTTCCTAACAGAAAGGTAGGAAGGTATTTCAATGTACAACTGCAGTACGTAAATCTCTTCCCTGACATTTTAGTGTTATTTTACTGTTAATAGACACATGTAACAGGTTTTATACTTCCTGTGAGTATAATCCAATTGATCTTATTTTCATACTGTATATCCGTTGTGTTAACACCTTATTTTGAAAACCGGACATTGTGGCATGTGTATCTTTGTGCTAATTTCACAAAGGCTGACGTAATTTGATAAATTAAGTTGTATGTGGCACTCGCATCGAGCACAATTGATACTTCATTGCCCTCTTCAGATAAGACTCATGTCATGAACATGTGTCTTTGTAAAGAGAGAAACAGACAGAAAAAAGTCTCTAACTCTGCCTGTCAGCTCGCTCTGCTCCATTGAAACTGAATTTACCATACAGAATTGAATACGAGTGCACTCCAGAGTGAGCTGCGGCTAGCTGACCGTGTGCTGCTCACAAACAACAGCTCCCTTTACCGCAGTTCTGTGTCTGTGCATGTAGCAAACTGAAAACATTGTCCGTTAGGGCGTCCACACGAAAAGGGAAGGAAGACATGGCTGGTAGAATTGTCCTCAGACAGAATTGCTAATCACTTCAGTTCACTAAAGGAAGCCATCTCTTGTGACTGTGTGGGTAGGAAGGCTTGTTGATGCGAGTTTAGAGTCGATCTCTGTTGTCTGACTGATCCACCAACAGGGGAGAAGTTCACCCCTTGAGACACAGCCCCTCCTCATTTGCATAATGAGGCAAAAATACATAGAGAAATGTAAAAAGGACAGGCAGATATATCTAAACACTGTGGAAATAAATAGTGTAGAAATGCAAAGGAATAACAAAACAGACAAAAATATTAAAATGCAGAAATACATAAAAAAATAAGTAATTAATAAAATTGAAGATTATAATGGACAATAAATAAATAAAGTTATTATTACAAAGGTGAATAAATAAAGCTAATTAAAAGAGATATATACATTTATGTCTCATTGTATAATATAATTAATTAATGCCTACATTTATTTATTAAGCATTTATTTATTTCCGTATTTATTTCCCTTTTTGTCAGAAGTGGTCCTCCACATTCAACTAGCAGTTACAAAGAAACTATAGCAGTTCTAGCTCTGAACTTATTATAATTGAAGTATATAAGTAGTGGTGTCAGAATTTAAATGTAACAAGATTCCACAGATTAAAAGCTGTCTCACACGCTGTGACACCACACATCAATATTGTCACGCAGTGAAAAACAAATGTATAACTGATAATGTCGACTCGCGGAGCGAATAAACTCCACCCAGTTGATGCGACACCGGCGTACACCATGATAGTAATCAAGTGAACCCACTCTTGCACTGTCCAGACAGTTGTGAAAGAGTGGTAACATATCTTGTGGAGTTTTGCAATATAAATATTTCTAAAGTGAAGGACAACCTTGCTCTGTTTGAGACTGTAAGCTGCACTTTATAAGAACTGCTGAAGTTAACATGTATGAGAATTTGTGGTGAGATTTCTGCCTAATCACAAGTGTCTCAGTTAGTTTCGGTCTCACATGCAACATGCACTCCCAAACTGTGTCGGTCAAACAGTCTGAAGGAGACATTACCAGCGGAGCAACAAAATAATGCACAGCAGAGTATAGGGCATGTTATGAATTTTCATTCAACGATGACGTTAGTCTTGTAATATTAAAACTTTTTTGTGGACATGTCAGAGAACACAGATGTGGGAGAGATTGTGAATGTGCAGAAAACTTACTGAAACACAGGAACTCTAAAGTCCTGGGGTTTATTACTATTCAAAGGAATTAATCTATCACTGAGGTGAAAAGGTGCCACATGCACATTTAAAGAGGTTACTTCCCCAAACAAAGACACAAGGAGGAGTGAAGACTACATCATGACTCAGCAGGATGATATTCCATGAGAAAAGTTGATCTACAAGAGAAACAGATCTGAAAGCAGCACAGAATGCCTGAGAGCTGCACTGACTTACAGTCTGTTATAGTTTGAATTGTTTTCCTTTACATAAATAAAAATATTTCCACCATAAATTGGTGCAGAAAGATTCTCAGGAAATTAACTGTTTCATGCTTAAAACCTTCATATAATTCAGCATTGAAGATTTCTTAATAATAGTGTTAAATTCTAGTCTCGATCTTGTGAACCCAATATCATGTATCAGTGATAACAATTTGCCTTCTTCTTGTAACAACATGCCAATATACCATCTAATCAGCACCCCTGACGTCCACAGTATTTCAGAGTTTGCACCATGAAACAAACTACTAAAATAAATTCAGAATCTTTTAAGAAAACTGAAGCAGTCATGAGGGTAGTGGTTTGGCATTTATTATCTCATGGCTATTTAGTCAGAGTTACAGAGAAATATATAGTAATATAGATATAAATTAGATGAATATTGGTTTTGCTTAGAGATGCCAATTCTCAGCATCCGATGAGAGTCAGTGAACTCTAACTGTAAATGACACGACTTCAGCTGTATGACTTTCTTACGGCTTTAGGGTAGCACTGCCTCCTCTTGGTAGAGCCGGGCCTGCCTGGTACGCTCGTCTCCTCCTCATCATGAAGGTCCAGCTCCTCCTCATACTTCACGGTCTCCTTTCCTACCGGCATCAGGTGATCATCCAGCTCACCTGGGTGGGAAGGAAACAAGCTATGCGTCAAGATGCTATAATAGATGCAGGGAAATGTTCTATAGAGGCTGACAGTGAATATTTTTCTAATTCATGCAACAGAAAAAATCTTTTACCTATTTTGTGGAGTTTCTCACAACACACTAGTGCAACTGCTTTCTCTGCCAGTCTGGCACAGTTCATCGTAGGACCCTGTAAAGACAGACACACTGATAAAGTGCAGCTCACAGTCTCAAACAGAGCAAGGTTGTCCTTCATTTAAAAAATATTTATATTGCAAAACTCTACCAGCTATGTTACCGCTCTTTCACAACTGTCTGGACTCACAGTGCAAGTTCACTTTATTTATCAGCCAAAGGTGCTTTCCTCACGGTCTACGACATTGTTGAGTTGATTCACTCTGCGAGTCGACGTTATCAGTTATACATTTTCACCGCATGAGAAAATTAATGTGTGGCTTGACAGCTTGTTAAAAATGTCAATTGCGAGACAGCTTTTAACCTGAAGAGAAATCTCATCACAAACCTACCCAGGAGGAAGGCTGGGATAGTGTATGCTGATGAAATCAATGAAGTGAGTGTTGAAATGTAGGGGGAAATTTTGAATTCAGGACACACCTGATTTAGGCTAGCCTGGGAACAAGACAAATCTGCAAACTCATGTTTCATTTGCTCTGGCGATTCGTATTCGCCCCCTCCCATTCAGACAGATTTCCACCTGAAGTGGATCAGTGGGGCCAATCACAACCGTTTATTTAAATGGGGCAGGTTTGATATGATGACTGACCGAGGAGCATCACCGGTCCAGATTGGAAAAGACACAGGTCTCGTTGACTGTCTGCAGGTCCGTCCAGAACTATGCACTAGGCGGCCGAAACTCAGATCAAACTGTAAAACTGGCAGTATTGATCCAATATCTATCAACATCCTGTTACTGCATTGGCTATTTCCTGCCTCAAATGTCTTCAAAAACACATTTCAGTCTGTTGTGTAGCTGAAATTTGAGTTTGTGACCTGGCCACCAAATTTGGACCAAGCACGGCTCCAACTTGCATGTGTCGCTCAGCGCTATGTCACATAGGGATGCTCTGATTGGTTGTGGGTCTATCCAATTGCATGCCCCTTGGAAATCGAAAAGTGAACCGACAGATTCCAGACTAATACGCATTTGTAATGTAGTCTGGGGATGCCAGGCTAGCTTCAGGGTGTAACCATCCAAAATTCTTAAAATGTAGAGGTTCTTCCTCACCTTAACAGGAACTCGCAGAGGGGAATTGATGGGTAAATAGAGTGTGGATTGGAAACGTCCGTCCTGCATCTCCTTAGTTTTACACTTAGGTGCCAAGTGGGTGAACGGGTCACTGGGAAGCCGAGCACAATACCTGTGCACCAGAGCAAAAAAAGACATTAAGAAATGCTATTTTAAAGCTGATGTGTGTTTGTTCATTTTTTTTCATCAATTGAGGATTTAAAGTTTTTGCAGAAACATCATCCAACCTGTTAATGTGTCCGATGGCTGTGTTGATGGTGACCCGGGGACCTCCATCCTCAGATCGAAGCACATAGGGCGGGAGGATGTTGTCATCATCCAGCACCTGCTCAACTTCAAACTCACTCACCTCCATTGTCTTAGAGCACTTGTTCCTTAAGATCTGCTCACAATTAAAATGAGATCATCATCACTAGCTCATTCTGCTTCTACTTTCCACTATTATATACCATTTCTACTAACACGCTTCCATGTTCCATCAGACAGGATCAGAAACTTAAGACTAACTGAGAAAGAGGGAGACGAAGAGAAAATGTTACCTTCTCTATGGCCTTGTAGGTAGTGAGATCTTCCTCGAAGGCTTTGGTCCTCTCACTGTCAGCCAGCATGATGTAGTTGGAGACAGGTGCCCGAGCTCTGCCTTTGGACTGGACGTAGGACCTGTACTCTGTGGGCAAGTCAAACCGCACCACCAGGTTACACTTTGGAATATCCACGCCTTCCTCGACGATGCTGGTGGCGATCAGCAGGTTAGTTTCATGAGCCCTGAATTTGCGAAGAACCTGTGAGAGAAAGGGGTGGGGGGTGAGGCAAACAGAATACTGCTTTGATAATATGTCAAGAACTCCTTTCCTAAGTATTATGGTAGGACAGGAAATGAAAGATGATGAGCATGAAACCCATCCAAGCCACAACACAAATTTGCATGTTAAGTCCATGACTCATTTCAGCTAAACACAGCAAACTTGCAGAGCTGGACAATATGGCTGAAAGTGGAATCTCTATTTAATCTATTTTTTTTTAGACACAATTGAATTAAAATACTCAAAATTCTGGTTAAACACTGACATCAATTTACCAATCAGAGCATGGAGAAATGCAGAGCTGACAGAGCTGTATCAGCTCTGCATTGTTCCTACTTCCAAACATGGATTACAGCTTAAGTTAAAGCAACAGAGTAAAAAGGTCCACTCCTCAGAAAAATTACTCCTTTAGCAGAGTGAAGCTGGTTGAATGAAAATTCAAGGGAGAGGCCTGTGTCTCCAAGCTGTTCAGGGTCATATCCAACAAATCCACATCCAAATGCACTTTTACACTACATCACAGTCACCATTCACACACATTCATACACTGAGCCTAAATGCTCAAAGCGGGGCGGCAGTAGCTCAGTCCGTAAGGATTAGGCTGGGAACCGGAGGGTCGACCAGAGTTGTGGAGCATGGAGTAGTAGATGAAGTAGTGCCAGTTCACCTCCTGGGTACTGCTGAAGGAGGCCTTGAGCAAGCTCCTGAACCCCAAACTGCTCGGGGACGCACTGAGTGGCAGCCCCCTCACTCTGACATCTCTCTGTGTGTTGCTATAGGTCCTGTATGTGCATGTGTGTGTGTTTCCAGCTTTCCGGTGTGTAAATACTAACAATAATAACAGAGTGAAAACATTGAATTTCCCCTAGTGGGTTTAATAAAGTATATCTTCTTCTTCTTCACACAGAAACTAACAGCCAACAGGGGCAATTCCGGGTTCAGTATCTTGCCCAAGGACACTTCAACATGGAGCTGGGGATTGAACAGGCAACCTGCTCTCCCTCCTGTCCACATACCTCCTCTTGTTTCCTGAACTCCACCTCCATTTGCTTGTTCCGTGGCTGGTTCTTGCCGATGCTGTGGCCAGTGATGAAGTTGCTGCTGATGTAAGCCAGCTCTGGGTCCTGCTTCCCTGCCTCTTTGATCAGACTGAGGAAGAAACACAGATATCTTGTGTCACTGATAACACATCAGTGTTTCCACTAGATCTGATATTAATTTATGTCACTTGGCGCTAGCAAACAATTCCAGAAGACGACAGAGTCCTACCGATTGAGGACGACAGCTGTGTAACGCCTCTCCACGAAGATGATCCCACACAGGATGTTGGTGAATGGAGAGGGAAAATTGGCTTCAGGCCTCTCTTTGGCCTCCACCTCCTCATCCTCATCTTCATCCTCAGAGTCGCTCCAGGACACGTAGTTGTCCTGGTTGCGGTTGTTATACCACTCTACACTTTCAAACTGCTGCCGCTCGAAGGGCTTGTATTCGTGCAGGATCTCCAGCAGCCTGAGGACCTTGGGGGTGACGAACTTGAGGTCCAGCGAGGCGGGGGAGAAGTGCTCCTCGCAGAGGGCATGCACTTTGCGCAGGATGGTATCTGTGAAGAGCAGAAACTTGCGGTTGAGCTCCTCTTGCTCATGTTTGATGTACTTCTGGAGCTCCCGCACCATGATGCCCGCAGCTTTATCCGCACACCAGGGCCCCAGCACCTGCAGCACGGCCCGACAGTCACTCAGGACCTGGACAGTACAGAGACAGGGTGAACGATATGTTAATCAGAGGGTTTTCACTGAAAACAGCTGTCTGCTGCTGCCGGAAATAAGGTTCAAGAGATCAGAGGTTGCGAGTTTGGAAAACTAAAATGAGCTAAAACCAGCTAACTAATTCCGTAGAGCTGCCGACTTTTGATAACTCTGTGGGTCTGTAACTTCGCTCTGACCTGTTTGGAGATGAATGTGGGATCACGCTCGTCTTTGGCAACAGATATGTTGCAATCGTTCAGGAAGAGGAGAGCTTCATCCAGCTCCGTCTGCAGATGGGAGGAGAGGCCACTCTTATCCAAGTAGGGGCCACAGTCCAGTACCACTTCTCTTGGCTGAGAGGCGTATCTGAAATATAGTACAGTGCACAGGTTAGACTTCAGCATGCATCTAGGAGTCATGTTTACTGGTTTCCCAGTCTAATGATGTCATTGATTTTCATTCATCGGGTAATTTTACAAACTAGCTTTTCCTTTTGTTTGAATGAACTGAATCAATGAAAGAACATGGTGCGCTGCTTTTGTTGTAACTAAGAAAACACGTTTAGCTGTAGATGTAGTCCACCCCTGATAGGTCATACACAGTATAATGGCTTGTAGTACCTGTCCAGGACCACAAGGTCAGTGGCAGTTTCAGCGTTGCTCTTCAGGATTCTCTCCAGATTCTGGATCTTCTGCTCCAGTTCTGATGGGTCACACTTTCCATTCAGAATGGATGCTGTGAGACCCAGGATACGAGGACTGCAAGAGCAGCCCTCAAACAGCTGCAGAGACACAGAGGAGAGCCAGGTCTTTCACAGTTCCCTTGCACGACTACTTGCCAGTCATGCAAAAAGAAAAATGAATTCAACCACAATCTCACCTTCATTATCTCACAGTAGGGGTGGTCTGTGATAGCCAGGTGACAATCGTCAAAAACCACCAGGTTGATTTTAGACAACTGTAAGATTTTATTCTTCAGAACATGTAAGAATATGTGGCACGTCATGACCAGAACCTTTATGAGAAAGAATGACAGGAGACAAGAGAATATTATTGGCCGCAGTGTGACTGAGTCTGACTGTAAAACACAGCGTTAGAGAATGTGCAAATAACTAGGGCTACCCGCTGAAGGTCAAGAATTAGAATCATCAGCCCCGAGTCAAACCTCGCACTGTCACTTGACACCTTGTACTTTGTTTGACGAGTCATTGTCAAAAGAACAACATGGAACAATACATATACATACCTGTAATGGAAATAACTAGAAGGGTTATGGAAAAAGTGCAGGCTCCAGCACAACCCAAACACACCGCTGTGCAGTGCTTTCTTTATAGCCCACTTGATTTATGCTGAACTCTGCTCCTGACCTGAAGGCTTGTGGTGTCAACCATACAACAACTGGTATTATTACTTAACTAGGATTACAACATTTTCACATCAAAGATGTGACATTAAGGTGTTGTTCCTTGTTCACTGTATTAGTGAAAAGGGCCCCTGTTTTATGGAAACACCTAGGCCTTTATTAAACCTGACAAAACTGCGCAAGTATGTCACAACATCTAAGTACGAAACAAGTATGATGCCTGTGTTAACTTAACAGTATTTAAAACAAATACTGGAAAGGCAATGAGAATGGCGGCACACCTGATTCTCGATTATCTCTTGATTCCACTGTTGGTCAGTCCATGCTGAGGTCCCCTCCAAATCTGTGTACTCTCCCACCTGGAGGTCAGAGTGAGTCCTGACTGCAGCCGCTTGCTGAACTACACACAACGCTGGACAACATAGACCAGAGATACGGTAAACTACTTGAAGTTAAATCACTACATGCATTTGAATTTGAACAATAATTTGTGTGCATTGCATGTACCTGTGTTCACCAGAAAAACTGTCCTCTTTGCATTTTCTTGGTAATGTCCGCGGATTTGGTGGGAGAGCTCTTTTGTAAGAAGTACTGCAATAAAGGTCTTCCCTGAGCCGGTATTTAAGCAGACGATAGTATTATGTTCAAGAGCTGCTTCAAGAAGTTCTACCTGTAGAGGAAGAAACAAAACAACAGCAATGAATGTTTTTTTTCTATCAAATTAACGCCATAGCCTGTATATAATACATCAAGCAGCTAGTACACACATCCACGTGACTGGCAGCCTCCTTACCTGATATTTCCTAGGGGTATAGATGTTATCATGGATAGCCTCCTGCTGCCATGGCAGACCAAAGAAAGGCCCCATGGGTGAAGTGGCAGGGGTAACAAGCTGTAGGCCTGCCATGCTTCAAAGAGTTGGAGGTGAGGCTGGGCTCCTCCAGTCGTCCACTTTATCTCATTTCTTCATCCTAGTTGTTTCAGAAGTTCACTGGCAGGGAAATAAGGATCCAATATTAATGTACTACAGACAGCAGGCACACTTTGTCTCATTTTCCTACAAGAGCATGTTCTTTCTATTTGAGAGTACGATTTATTAATTTTACATTCATATTTTGTAATGTTCTCCCTCAAATCTGCACAATTTGGAGAAAAAGTCATTTTGCGATTACTGTGGTGCGATTTGTGAAAGCGATATAATGGTAACGAATGGTCTGATAAGTCCACTTGCTTGCTTATCATTGGAAATGCAGACAATACTGAAATATATTCAAATAAAGTACCTAAAAATATATATTTTCAAAAACAGACATTTTTGCAAAATTGCTTTGCTCAACAGTATAAATGGTGGGTGTAACATGATACACCAGCACCACACACCCAACCCACAGCACACTTTATGTAAACTAGATACTGAACAATATTTATAACAATAACTTTAGTAAAACAGAACAAAAAGGGAGCGTGTTCCTCACACTGCCTCTGGCTAAATCTACATCTGTCCACTGCAGAGACTCTATCCACAACCTGGAGGAGGAACTAAGAGAAATCAGTGTATTAGTATGATATTATAACATTAAATAAAGAGCGTGTTCTTTTAATAGTATAATATTAATTAATTATTAATTATTAGTAAAATGGTCACACTGTAGAGCCCGGTGTGGGTGTAGTTAACAGGGGTGTAACGATACACGTATTCGTACCGGAAGGTTTCAGTACAGGACTTTCAGAAGGGTGCAAATGTGCGAATGTGCGTGGAACATATGTCAATTCTGAGTTTTCACACAAACATATAAAGTGGCGGACCAAATCTCCGCCTTGCACTTTAGCCAAAATGTCTACTTCAGCCCAGCCTCTCGCTAGCTAGCGTCATGGCCAGTTCAGAGAAGCCAGAGCTTGAAGACCTCCCCTGATCATCAAGGTCTCCTGTTTGGAAACACTTTGGTTTCCTAGTGAAATAGAAAAGAAAGCAGTGTGCCGACGCTGCTCAGTAGTGATCGAGTATGTTTCTGGCATCACATCAAACAGGCTAACATTCACTCATTTGAAACAGTACCACACAAATGTGAACATCACTGCTACAAGGAAAAAAACTGTAAAGTGCAATTAAATAGACTTTAGACTGCACTTCAGAAAATATTATTTATTTGTTTTTCTAAATCTGACCAGCCCTACAAGCTGGGATTGATAATGCTGCGCTGTAATCCAGTTATTTCTATTTATTATATATTTTATGTTATATTGTTTTGAGAATATTTTATTTACTTGATAGTAGTATTTTATTTATATAATAAATTTAAAAGTTTGTTTAAACAATTGTAAACTAATTTTAATGTTTCCAACATTCATAATAAACAACCAGTAAATTAATGTTAGCATATTTTCCCATTTACTGTACCAAAAATAAACCGAACCCTGAATTCAAAACCAAGGTATATACCAACTGAATTGTGTGTACCATTACACCCCTTGTAGATAATGAGCAGACTGCAGTGAACACAGAGACAAGAGTGTCACCCACACAGCAAACATTTCTGTCCAATTAAATCGCTCCCTTCTATGGTTATGAAATCGCACAGGGTGACATCGCAACTGCGGTTAGATTAATCGTGCAGCTCTACTAAAAACCCTGCCCTTGCACTCAAACAGCCCCTGCCTGTGCTTACATTTGCTCTGCTTAAGCTGTGCTTGCACTTAGATATGTTGTTGCTTGCACAGAAGTCTGTTGTTTCCCACCTGCTGGAAAAGTGAAGCCTGTTAGCGCTAAGTTAGCTAAGATCTCCCCTTCAGACTGAGCAGCTGAGCAGGAAAGCTTCTACAGCAGGCTGTGTCTTTTGGCTGCTATGTAACTGAACATTAGCTCAATAGAAAGTAACTGGTAGCTGTATTTTATTACTGCCTACCTGTCCAATGTTGAGCTGCAGCTCTGTCCTGTACAGACTGGTTCAATTATTTTTCAGATGAATTAGTGGTTGTTGACTGGAGGTTAGTAAAGCTAATTAGTGATGCAAACAAGTCTTTTTAAGCTGATGAGGAAACGTTTCTTTTTGCATTTTAATGTGCAAATAAAATGCACCTCAGAAGGGAGGAGGTTTCTCATGTTGCACAGATGAACAACAGTATCTGTAACGATTCTGAGGTCATATTAACAGGGTTTTAGGTAGTGATGTCCACAACATGCTGTGCAATAAATGTTAAATCACTGTGGAGCATCATGACCAACCAAATTACTTTCCCCAAATCTAAAGGTTGTAGTTTCTCCCTAGCAGACTGATCTTTGGGTGTTGGTTATTTATTATCTGCTCTAGCTTTTCCAAATCTTTCTTATAATAATGGCCCAATGTGATGTGAAATTACATATTTGTCCTTGGAAAACATGGGGAGGACCCCAAAACCCCCAACCAACCTGACCATGACCACCAACACCAAAACATTCAGCTAAAGCTCACATTAAACTGGGTAGTTAATAGTTTTAAACTATTCTGATATGCATCACATTGCTCATGGACACAAGAGCAATACTGCTGAGACATGTTGTGTTGGGGTTTTATATTCACCTCCATCCTAGGGGAAACACTGGCTGTCTCAGAAGGTGTCTAACAGGACAGCGAGGCATCGAGTGCCGTTCGAAACGGCTCGAACGATCTGAGATGCCTTCAAGCTGCCCCAGTAACAGCCAGTTTGGAAGGCAGCATCGATGGTGACTTGATGCCGACTATTACCCATAAAGCAACGCTGCTTTATGGCCAGTTTTCGAAAGCTGGCCAAGATGGCGGACAAACAAGCCGAATTTGTACACAAATATACATTTTTAAAAGTTTAGTAGTTTTCTCGCTTTGAGTTTTTGAAAATCTAGCGAGAACTGATAGACTGAACTATAATATCAGCCTGTGACTGTAACCAACCAAGTTTGTTCAGTATGATTTCTGACGCGTCTGTTAGACGTTTGGCTTTTCAATAGCTAGTTAGCTGATGCTAAGGCTAGTGTCTCTTCTGACAGCCAGAAGAGACGCAAGACGGCGTGCTGACGTCACACATTGCCATAAGTGCTTCCCTAAAGGCTGTTCAAAATCTAATGTAAACAGAGCTGCCTTTCCAGTGATGCCTTCTGAGGCAGTTACGATATCGAGGCAGCGAGGCAACTGCTTTCTGTTTTTGAACACAGCCAATATCATCATGGATGTTATCTTGTATACAAATTTGACCTCATCAATTCAATGTGAAGGGATAGGCCATTAAATAAAAAAATTTCTGGAGGTCCCTGACTTTAGCAGTGACTGAGTCCCACGGGTGACGTTTTCTCCTCCTGTGTGCTATACTGCTAGTATTATACAGTATGTAGCTATTATAGTAAAAAGTACAGGCACTGGTAAATGTAATACCTGTCCCTTTATTGCAAAAGTTAAGAAAGCAAGGGAAGTATATACTAAAACCGCGTAGGGTGGGGGATGGTGAACCCAGTTAAAGAGTAACGTGATGCTCTAATATTATTGCTATACTCCTGCGTAGGGTCTACGTGTGTACCTACACCGTAGGCTACGCACGTAGGCATGCATTTATACTTGTGCGTAGGCGTGTCCGTCATTCTGCAATTATACCTCCGAACGCTAGTCGTCAGTAGCGCTATAGCGTCCGCTGTGTTGACTGTGTTTGCTGGCCGAGCAGGCTAACTTCCAGTTTAGCGCTCCGCTAACGTAAAATTTTAAACGTGCGGCTGGTGTAGCCTTTTCAAATGTTACCGACCGAATGGATCACATTCAGTCATTTCGCTCGGGTTGCGACGGTCAAATATATTGATTCACTGTGTTACAGCCGCCGTTTTGGCCGCTAGTAAAGGTTACTTCAAAGCGCGGGGTGCTTCCAGTTGGCTCGGAGGCATTGCGAGGCTACCCAGCCGACCAATCACAGAGCTTACGGTCCGCGTCGACTCGACGTGTAGTTACATTTTGCGTAGCCCCTTTCCCTACACCGTCAATTTGACGGAGAAGTATAAAGTAGGAATCATTTCATTGGTCAACAATACACCTGGTATTCTATTGGTTGTGAGAGCAGCTTGTTTAGACCATGACAAGGGTTTGTTTAGAGCTCCTTTAGAGACTTGTTTAGAGCTTGATTAGAGTTTGAGAACAGGCTGGTTGGAGGTTTACAAACAGGAGGTTTATTTAGAATGAGAGAACAGTTTATTTGGAATGTGAGAAGAGCCTGTTGGTGCTTAGGAATACCTTCCTAAGGGCCCATGTCCACCAAAGCGTTTTTTTTAATTCATTGCAAAAACACCAACACCATTAAGCATACAGAACGTGAGAACAGATTGCTTGGGGCTTTTTTTAGATCTTGAAACATCTCGCTTGGAGAATGAAAACAGCTTGTTTAAAGCATAGCTTGTGCTAAAAGGGGAGATTACTTGGTGAATAGGCTGGAACAATGCTAAAAACTAATGTTAACAACAGAATACAATACATTTCTTAGGAAATATACTTACAGGTAACAATTGAAACTTTCTGGATAAACAGAAAACACGTAATCTGGGCTTCATAATAAAATATCTCTTAATCAACTTCCGATGTTCCCCCACATTTAAGACCTGAGAAAACAAAAAAAGAGGACACTGTTATAATCATGCATGCATCAGACTATACAAGTCTATACAATGTCTAACCATGACAATTAAAAAGTAATTTACATGTAAATGCTCCGTACTTGTATAGCACCTTTCTAGTCTTTTCGACCACTCAAAGCGCTTTTACACTACATCTGCATTCACCAGTCACACACATTCATACACACATAATAATAACTGAGCCTAAGTGCTCAAACAGAAGTCACACACATTCATACACTGGCAGAACAGCCGCCAGGGGCAATTCGGGGTTCAGTATCTTGCCCAAGGACACTTCGACATGTAGCTTGGGGGAGCTGGGATTGAACCGCCACAGCCGCCCCTTTAAATACAATTTAAGCTTCTGATTTACCTATGAATTAGAACCTAAACAAGAATATCTTTATTCACAGAGTGTTAAACGTAGAGGCAGCAATCAAGGTAGCTTGGCTGCCTCTGTTGCTCATCTGCAGATTATCATACTGTGATGATTCACACAAAACCTCTCACCTCTACACAAATGCAAAGTGGCAGGGATTGTGCTGGTTCCTCCAGCCCTGTAAAAATGAAAAAACAGAGAGCAAAATGAGAAAAGTAGCCTCTTGATGGGTGCCAGATGCTGACGAAGGTACACTGAACAGAGGGAAGAAGGATCCATCACTAAAGTACGACAAGCTTTTCAACACATTTGACATAGCCCAAAATCACCAGCAGACCATGTGACCTTACTGTGAAGACTGCTAAGCCTCACAGCTGTAACTAATCCCAGCAGTCAGCTTGGTGCAGCAAACACAAGTCTTTATATTAACGGAGCAGCTTACATTTGCTGGTAATTAAAAACATGATGCAACCTGATGCGCATCTGTGGAGCACCAGCCAAGCAGTTTTTTTTCAGTAACAGAACCACTCTAGGGATTCAAAAACTGACAGCCCCAAAATTTCAAATGTATAAATTGTCAACAGTCATGCAAGGAATTCAGAAGAGAAGTTCAAGATCAATGTGGTTTAACGTAATTGACCACCTCCGGAACCAAGACAACAGCCTGTTTAGCGCCGCATTTTCTACATTATCATTGTCAAGTTTGTAAAAATATGTTGATCCACTGCAGTCTTAACTAACAGTACACAATTAGATTAAAATTGAACTTTGTATCTAATGTTATGATATTACACTAATACACTCATTTAAACTAGTTTTTCCTCCATGTTGTATGAAGAGCCTCTGCAGTAGAAAGAAGCGGATTTCAATGTCTCAAAGTTTTAAAACATCTGTTTCAATATTTTAAAAATCTTTAACAAAATATTAAGGCCAATGCTGAGGTGTCAGTGGGTCTTCACTTCCAGTCCTCCAATGTCCAAAGGAGAAGGAGCAAACACAAAGTATAAATATGTGTATAATAAATAGTCTGTTAAACTCATTACATTTTTTGCTGTGCTCCTAATTTTTTTAATTTAGCAGCACATGTGCTCCTTGGGAAAAAGGTTAGCATAGAGAATACCTGGGCTTCAGGTAGCCTATGGGCTGATGCAGAGTACCGGTCCAATACCAGTAGTGTTGTAGTCAAGACTGCCCAAACCGAGACCAAGTCAAGACCAAGACTAGTTCCCTGCATTGCATGGCATGCAATAAAATGTGGAACGTGATCATAGGTACTTCACAAATTGTCGTTAATTAGAGTTATTGGTTGCATTTGAAGCAATATGTTTTACTTCCAATCAAAGTTTGGATGTTAACAAATCAAACAATGCAAAAGCAATTTATTGATATTCCCAAAGTTATGGTTTTGACTGGTCTTGAAATAAATTCCCGAGTCCTCAGTGTCCGAGACCGAGACAAAACCCGAGTACAAATGCAGTCGAGACCGAGACGAGACCAAGACCATCAAAAAGACCGGTCTCGGGTACTAAAACATTAGATAACAGTGTAAAATTATTAACTGTTTGTTAACTGGGTAATGAACACATAAGCTTTTATGGTGCATTTGACTTAATGTGAAACAGGCCACCTTTTAAAAAAATGAAATTTGCTTTAACTATTTAAGTATTAGAACTAAAAGTTGCTGCTTTGAAAATGTGTTCGATTGAGCCGTGCACATGATTTACTGTTCATAATCAGCATTAGGGTCTGCAGTGTTTTCACGGTATGAAAATTGAAGACTATTATATTTCCATGCGAGCTACAGTGGCGCTGTGCTAAAAAAGATGGTGCAGAATTACACATGTAGGCAACAATTCTGTTAAATTCACTGTTGAGATGTGAAGGATGCAGTGTGTGTGTGTGTGTGTGTGTGTGTGTGTGTTAGAGAGAGAGACAGAGTTCATGTCTTACATGAAGGGTCACTTGTTTTGCAGCTTCTCAATGAAGAACACCATTTGTAATAATTGGGCTGTTCATGCAGCCTACTATTCATAGTTTTCAGTCACGTGACATTCGCGGTATCTGGAGGGCAAAACAACAGACCAACACAATGGCTCACGCCGCGACTCCCCCGTAGAGACGCCGCAAAAGCAGTTACATTTATTTAGATCACCTCTCAACTTAAGAAAAACAAAGATATGAACACAAATTGATGATTGACAAAATGCATGTTTGCGGGTTGGGTGGTCCCCATTGGCCCTCACAACGGGTTGGTTGGGTGCAGGTATTTAAAAAACCCAGACCCCGCGCATCACTAGTAGTCTACGGTATGGAATTCTACCTTATTGGTGTTAATTAGAGGTGCAACAAGTAAGCCATGTAGTTGGCAACGAATTTAATAATCGATTCGTTCATGAGGTCATTGGGCCGTAATGACACCGTCGGCTTAATAGAGTAAAGTGATGTGAACAGTAAAGTTACTAAAGCAACTCAAAATAAGCGCTGGTATTACAGTTTTTCTCAAATGCTAAAACACAAAAGCCAATCCTCTAAACCAAATGACCAGTTGTCTAAACACATTTACTAAATCTAGCCATCATTTTCCAATATCATAAACACATTTCACATGAAGACACAATTCACAAAACACAATCCTCCGTTCACATAAATCTTAACACATTTTTCCTTGCTAAAACACAAGTTGCAAAAGAACTCTGCTCATATTCTCAAATGAAAGCTCATGTGATGCAAAATGCTTGCCACAGTCAGCAATATTTGAACAAAATGAACACACCTGGCGTCATTCATTACACACAACGACTCAAAATTGAAAACACCTGTTGCTAATGCTGTGACTACATGTATAAAAGCAAGTTCAGAGTGCACAGTTTGCTGAAGATTCCAAACACACACAATGGATGAAGGCAGAGTCAGGGGAAGAGGTAATCGAGTCAGAGGAGGGAGAAGAGCTGGCCAAGGAGGAAGAGGAGCAGGCCAAGGAGGAAGAGGAGCAGGCCAGGGAGGGAGAAGAGCAGGCCAATGAGGAAGAGGAGCAGGCCAAGGAGGAAGAGGAGGAGGCCAGGGAGGAAGAGGAGGAGGCCAACGAGGAAGAGGAGGAGGCCAACGAGGAAGAGGAGCAGGCCAAGGAAGAAGAGGAGGAGGCCAACAAGGGAGAGGAGAAGGTCCAGGAGGGAGAGCAAGACAACCTCGCACCATCATTACGGACGAGATGCGAGCAACAGTCATTGACCATGTCATGACAATGGCTGAAGCAGGACTAAGAGTCCGTCCAAACCTGAGTAGGTTCAGCGTGGCCACCATTATCAGGGCATTCACACAACACAACAGGTATTGTACTCTACTGCTTTCTTTGTCACAATACAATTTTACAAGCCTGTGAAAGTAGTCTATTAGTTTCAAATCAGTTGTTACTGTATTGTAAAACATGTCAATTGACAACACGTTTCTTTCTTTAGAGTTGAAAGAATGCCACATAGAGGTGGGAGGGTTGCCATATTTACAGCGGCACAAGAAACCCTCATTGTGGATATGGTTCGTGAGAACAACCTCATCAGACTCCGGGAGATCAGAGACAAAGTCATTGCCGATAATGTGAACTTTGAGGGCATTGATGATGTCAGCTTGGCCACAATAGACCGAGTTCTCCGGTGCCAAAAGATGCGGATGAATCAAGTCTATAGGGGGTAATATTTCCCTTTGTGCAGCCATGGGTTTGGAGGGGCTTGTCCACCGGCAGGCTGTCCTTGGGTCTTACAACACCCAACGTCTCCTAACCTTCCTAGAGGAGCTAAAAGATATCCTCCTGGACCACCAACAACACCATCCTGGGCCCGAACATCCCATTTATGTGATCATTTGGGACAATGTACGCTTCCACAGAACAAACCAAATCAGAGAGTGGTTCACCACCAACAGTAACCACTTTTTAAACGTCTGTCTGCCACCCTACTCCCCTTTCCTGAACCCTATAGAGGAGTTCTTCTCATCGTGGAGATGGAAGGTTTATGACAGACAACCATACACTAGAGAGAACCTCCTAAGGGCAATGGAGCTGGCGTGTGTTGACATCCCAGTGGAGAACTTCCAAGGATGGATCCGCCATTCCAGGGCGTTTTTCCCGCAGTGCCTGGCAAGAGACAATATAGCCTGCGATGTGGATGAGGTGATGTGGCCCGATGCAGCTCAGCGACATGATGCCGCACAGTGATTGTGGTGTAAATAAAATAAAAAAAACTTCACACCCTGATCATGTTTTCAAGAGTACTGTTGTGTGCAATAGATTCTGTTTTTGCATTGAGTTGTGTTACAGTAGTGTAAAGAATTTACTATAGATTTATACTCATACAAATCTAAATGCCCAATCCTCAGAGATCTAAGAAGATCCATTATTGTAAAGTTTCTAAAAATATGCATTGGCAGTTATGAAACAAAGAACCTTCTCACAAATTGAGCATTGTGTTTTCAATTGTTTTGCTGTAGTGTGTAATGATGTGTATAGTGTTTACATTTTTGAAAGCTTCGAGCTGCTCTTTTGGTGTGAAAGTTTGAGTTTTGAAGGGAGAAGGTGTGGTTGTGTCTATGTAGCTTTAGAAAAGGGTGTTGTGTTTAGACATTGGAGAACATGGACGAAACGTTTGTGAAATGTGTTTTAGCATTTGAGAAAAACTGTAACACCTTCTCGACCTAAAACACAAAGTGTGGGAGCATTTCACTCTTCCATCAGCAAAAAAAAGGTTGTGAACTGCAGCATCTGCAAAGCTGAGCTTATTCTGGCTTTTCTGAAGAGGAGGCATGTAACATTGGGGCCAGTTGCAAAAAAGTTTAATGTTGAACCCTGGTTACGCTGCTGACAAACGTGATTGTAGATCTATTTGTGAAACAGTGTGGCAGTTCTAGCAAACGGTCCTGTTATTCGTCCCAAGTTCATTACTTCTAAATATTCTCTAAAATCACATACAGCTGCTAACACAAACCTTTGACGTATTCTAAATATATCTGTGAGCCGCCCGTCTGCAGTTATAGTCGGCGTGTCTGAAATGATTAAACCAGAGCGGACACGTTAATAAACGAGAGCTGAACAAGAATCGAACACGGCTTCCTGTAGCTCCTCTCTGTGTGACGTTGTAGTTGTGAAACGTTGTAGTCAGAGCCGTAAAGACTGTGGTTATAGTTATAACT